ATGTTCCTTGAGGGAGAAGGGATTGTTTAGTTTTAGCCTTGAAGCCCCTAACATAGTAGGATCATAAGAACATAGATTCAGAGTTGGAAAGGACTTTAGGAAATCATGTGGTTTCATATACCCTGCCTCCTATCTCAACCTCCCACCCTGTGTTTTTGTTGTTATTCAGTTATGTCCTACTCTCCATGACCCCATTTGGGATATTGTTGGCAGAGATTCTGGAGTAGTTTGCAATTTCCTTCTCCAGTTCTTTTACAGATGAAGAAACTGAGGCCAACATGGTTAAGTGACTTGACCAGGGTCACACAACTAGTAAATGTCTGAGGCCAGATTTGAACTCAGGAAGATGGGTCTTCCTGACATCAGGCCTGGCACTCTATCCAGTCTGCCACCTAGCTACCCTTTTAAACAGATGAGGAAACTGAGGCACAAGAGAGATTGACTTTTTCAAGATAACACAAATATTAAGTAGTAGAGTCCAGATTCAAGCTCAGGCCTTCTCCAGGCTAGTGTATTTTCTACTGCTTTGCTTCTCATGCTTACTGAATTGAATTGATCAGGATTGTGGGAATACCAATACAAGAGGAAGTAGAGTGGTGAAATATTTGCATATTATCTCATATATTATTTTTTAATGGTTTTCTTCTCAATGTAAAAACAATTTTTAACATTTTTAATTCTAAATTCCCTCACTCTTTCCTCCCCTTCCCTCCCCTGTTGCAAAAAAGAACACAAACTAAAAAAACCCCCAAAACTTCCAAAAAAGAACACAAACCAAAAAAAAACCCCCAAAACTAAGAAGAATAAAGTTCAAGAAAAGTACGCTTTGAGCTGCATACAGACTCCATCAGTTCTTTCTGTGGAGGTGGATAACATTTTTTCATCATAAGTCCTTCAGAATTGGTACTGATAACCTAAACCAGGAAAAGCAAAAACAAAAAAAGAAAATTATAGAGCAATTTCTCTAATGAATATTGATGCAAAAATCCTAAATAAAATAGCTAGGAAACTACAACAATGTATCACAAAGATTATACATAATGACCAAGTGAGATTTATTACAGGAATGTAGGGCTGATTCAATATAAGGAAAACTATTAACAAAATTGATTATGTCATAACAGAAGTAGCAAAAATCACATAATTTTTAGATGCAGAAAAAGTTTTTGACAAAATACGTCACTCTTTTCTATTAAAAACACTTAAAGCATAGGTATAAATTAGGCACAAATGGATTTTTCCTTAAACTGGTAAGGAGCATCTACCTAAAACCATTAGCAAACATCTGTAACAGGGATAAGCTCGAAACTTCCCAGTAAGATCAAGAGTGAAACAGGGTTGTCCATTATCACTAATATTGTTCAGAATTGTACTAGAAATGTTAGCAGTAGCAGTAAGAGAAGAAAAAGAAATTGAAAGAAACAGAATGGGCAATGAGGTAGTAAAACTCTCTTTTGGTAGACAAGATTGGAAAATCCTAGAGATTTAATTTTAAAAAGCTAGTTCTAACAGTAACTTTAGCAGAGTAACAGGATATAAAATAAACCCACATAAATTATCAGCATTTCTGTATATCACCAACAAAGCCCTGCAAGAAGAGATAGTTCATTTAAAATAACCATAAAAATACCTGGGAACATACCTGCCAGGACATACTCAGGAACTCTATGAACATAATTATAAAATGTTTTTTATACAAATTTAGATTTAAATAATTAGAGAAATATTAATTGTTCATGAGTGGGCTGAGCCAATATAATAAAAATTATAATTCCACCTAAATTGACCTATTTGTTTAGTGCCATCCCAGTTAAATTACCAAAAAAATATTTTATTGAACTAGAAAAAATAATAATAAAATTCATTTGGAAGAAGAAAAGGTCAGGAATATCAAAAGGATTAATGAAAAAAATGTAAAGAAAAGAGGTCCAGTAGTATCAGATCTTAAACTGCATTTTAAGGCGGTAATTATCAAAATTATCTGGTACTAATTAAGAAATAATATAGTATGCAATAGTAAATTATTGTAGTAACTGTGTTTTACAAATATAAAGATTTAAGTTTTTGGGATAAGAATTCACTATTTGGCAAAAATTATTGGGAAAATTGGAAAGCAGTCTGGGAGAAACTAGATATAGACCAGGAATGGAGAACTTTTGACCTCGAGGCCACAGGTTCCCCACCCCTGGTATAGACCAATATGTTACACCATTTATGAAGAAAAGGTCAAAATAAATACATGACCTAGACATAAAGGGAGATATAAGTATATTAGAAGGACATGGAACTTCTTACCTATCAGATATATGTAGTCAAAATTTTATGAATAAACAGTATCTAGAGGTAGCATTGTGAGATACGAGATGGATAATTTTGATTACATTAAATTAAAACCTGTGTAGCCAAGATTGGAAGGAATGCAGAAAATTGGGAGAAATTTTTTTATGGACAGTTTGTGCAGATAAAGACCTCATCTCTCAAATACATAGAAAATGCCAAATTTATAAGAATATGAGTCATTCCCCAATTGATAAATACAGGATATGAATGAGCAATTTTTGGAGGAAGAAATCAAAACTACATACAGTCATATGAAAAAAATGCTCTAAATCATTATTGATTAGAGAAATAGAAATTAAAACTACATTGAGATATCGTACACCTATCAGATAAGCTAAAATGATAGAAGGGGAAAATGACAAATGTTGGAGAGGATGTGGAAAAACTGGGACATTAATATTTTGTTGGTGGAACTGTGAACTGATCCAACCATTTTGGAGAACAATCTGAAATTATGCCTAAAGAGTTATAAAACTGTGTTTACCCTTTGACCCAGGAATGCCATTATTAGATTTGTTTCTCACAGTGATCAGGGAAAAAGGAAAAGAGCTTGTATGTTCTAAAATATTTATATCAGCTCTCTTTGTAGTGGCAAAGAAGTGAAAATTGAGGGCATGTCCATCAGTTGGGAAGTAGCTGAATAAGTTGTGGTATATGATTGTTTTCAAATGCTTCTGTACTGTAAGAAGTGAGCTGGTTGATTTTAGAAAAACATGGAAAGACTTGCATGAAATAATGGAGAGTGAAATGAGCAGAACCAAGAGAACATTTTATACAGTAATATTGTTTGAATAATAACTGAATAGGGGCAGCTTGGGGGTGCAGTGGATAGCGCTCCAGCCTTGGAGTCAGGAGGACCTGAGTTCAAATCTGTCCTCAGACACTTGGCGCTTATTTAACTGTGTAACCCTGAGCAAGTCACTTAACCCTGATTGCCTCACCCCCCCCCCAAAAAAGAATAACTGAATGACAAAGCTATTCTGAGTTATATGAATATTCAAATCAACTACAAAAGACCTATAAAGGAAGATACTGGCCACCTTCAGAGAAAGAACTGATATGTGGAACTGTGTATTTTATAGTTTCATGTTTATATCTGTGTTAAATGGTGGCCTTCTCTAGTGCAGGGTTGGGAGGGAAGGAGGAAAGGAAACAGCTTGGAGCTCATGTAACAAAAAAACCAAAATAAAATAAATATATTTTTTAAAAAGTCAGAGTTGTCTTATATCATTGTATTACTGAGAATGGCTTAGTCATTCACAGTTGATCATTGCACAATATTGCTGTTACTATGTACAATTTTTTCCTGGCTCTGCTCCACATCACTTTGCATCAGTTCATTTAATTCTTCCCAGGTTTTTATCCTGCTGGTCATTTCCTATAGTGCAATAATATTCCATCACAACCACATACCGCAATTTGTTCAACTATTCTCCAATTGATGGGCATCCCCTCAAATTTCCAATTCTTTGCTACCACAAAAAGAGATGCTATAAATATTTTTTAATATATAGTACTTTTTCCTTAATCCTTGTGTGTCAAAGGGCATGCACAGTTTTATAGCCCTTTCAGCATAGTTCCAGATTGTCTTCCAAAATAATTGATTAGTTCACAACTTCACCAACAGTGACATTAGTGTACCAATTCTTCTACATCCCCTCCAACATTTGTTGTTTTCCTTTTTTGTCACATTAGTGTCATGTAGATTGTTTTATCCTCGTAACAACCCTGGGAAGTAGATGTACCATTAATATCTCCATTTTACAGATGAAGAAACTGAGGCAGAGATAAATTATTTGCCCAGGATTACACAACTAGTAAGTACCTGAGGTCTGATTTGAGCTCAGGTCTTCCTGGCTCTAGGTTCAACACTATCCATTGTGCCATCTGATTGCTTTTTGTACATTTCAATATACAAAGAACAAAAAGGAGGATTCTCTAGGAAACATATAAAGGTATCTTAAATTAAAAACAATGGTAACAAAATTGCCGTTCTTGTCTGTTACCTTCTGAGCCAACTTATAGTTATTTCTCTGTATTTTTTAAGGTTTCATTGATGCTCCTTTTTTTCATCACTATCACTGTTCACCAACTCCTCTCTCTTCTCCCTTCTAACAAATAAGCTTTGTCAAACAAAAAAATTTAACACATTGCAGTCTGAGACTGTGAGTTTCATTCAGCACTCCTGCCAGGCCATCACTTCTCTGCTAAGAGGTGAAAAGCATACTTCATAATTAATCTTTTGAAGTCATATTTGGTTGTTGCATGGATTAGAGTTCTTGATAGAATTTAAAACATTTTAATCCGTCAATGTGATAAATGAATAAGAATAATGTGTTTTTTCTTCTGTGGTGAAATAGCCCAGCCAGGTTTGTCTAGTATTAAGGAATGATCAGTGAACTGAACGATGTCTCCTTTCTTTCTTTCTTTTTTTTTTTGGTGAGGCAATTGGGGTGAAGTGACTTGCCCAGGGTCACACAGCTAGTAAGTGTCAAGTGTCTGAGGTCAGATTTGAACTCAGGTGTTACTGAATCCAAGACCATTGCTCTATCCACTGTGCCATCTAGCTGCCCCTGAACAATGTACTTTTACAAAAGCCAGTTTGTATTGTACTTATTACTTATAATAAAAAATTAGTATTTGTTTTTCATTCTTCTTAGCTTTGTGAAGTGCTGAATCATTTCAAAGATGTTTAATAAATCATTTGGAACTCCCTTTGGGAGTGGCGCTGGTGGTTTTGGTACGACTTCAACATTTGGACAGAGTAAGTCAAGATATTTTAAAATTATTAAATTTACTTAAATATCCTTAAGAATGGTATTTTGAAGAATAAACTATCTTCTAGCTTTGTATTAAAAATTATCTGTACTTTGGATCCTTATGCTGGAAATTTTTAAAAATTGTATTTTGAAATGGATTTGTCTCAATGGTAGTGTGATAAACTTAACTTTTTTTAAACTAAAGTTTTATTGATGCCTTTTATTTTTATAATACAGTAATTTTCAGATATAAACTTCCCTCTCACTCCACCAATGAGCCTTTCCTTGTAACAAAGAAAAACATTTAAGGAAAACCAGCCAACAGTGGTTTCCTAGTAACATCACTTTGTATCAGTTTGTGCAAGTCTTCCCAGGTTTCTCTAAATTCTTTATGTTCGTTATGGGAAGATAAGCTCTGAATTGGCTAAGTCAAATACATAGAATCATTGAGCTCAAGACCTGAATTGGATCTTAGTGATTATCTGGTCCAGATCTCTCATTTTATTTTACTTTATTAAAAATATTTTTGATATCTTCTGTTTTTATACAAGTGTTATTTCCATACATGTGCCCACCCTCTTTCTCTGCTCGCCATCTCTTGTAACAAAGAAAAATAAAGGAAGGGAATAGGGAGCAAGCATCAAAACTAGTCAACACATGAACAGTATTCCACACCACATTCTCCCACCTCTGCAAAGAAGGTAGGGAGGTACATTTTCTCATTATCTTCTCCTGGGTTAAGCTTTGTCTTTGATAATTGTACAATGTTCAGTTTCTGTTTTTTAAATTCTTTCCGTGAATATTGTAGTAATTGGATATGCGGTTTTCTTCCTTTGGCTTACTTTGTTCTATATTAGTTCATATAAGTTTTCCCATCAAACCCCTCATTTTAAATAGGAGGAAATTAATGCCCAAAGAGGATCTAGGATCACAGTGGTTGAATCAGGACTTAAAAGTCTAGGGTTCTAGACTCAAGTCCATCATTCTCCCTACTGTTTATATCACAGCTACACTGTCATTGATAGATGTCTCTCAGCAAATAATTGTGCATTGATTGTTAATTTCTAGGCTACAAAAGAGTGTTTTTGAAGATTATTTTGGAAAAAACACAATATACTAAACATTGACATAGTTTAACAGTCTTTGAAGCTGGATGTTTCTGCATCAGATAACCATAACCAATTTGGAAAGATGGTATCTTGACATTTTCATGTCTGAGAGTTTTTGCCCTTCCTATATACATCTCCATAAATAGTTAACTCAGGCCATTTGATCTTTGTTTTCTCTTAGCTAAATTCCTGGAGAACATGGGATTCTAAAGAGGGGATAGAATTTGTCCATGCCCAAATAGCAAGTTGATCTAAATCTTCTGACTTCCAGTCTCGCATCTTAAGTACAATTAGGAAGCCTTTTGTTTTTATAGCCTTTAGAATAAAATGAGTTAATTTTCTCATTGTTATTAAGAAATTTAGTTTTCCAGTCAAGTCAAACTGAATTGTCTTAACTTGATTTTGCTTTTGCAGATACTGGTTTTGGTACCACAAGTGGAGGGGCATTTGGAACGTCTGCATTTGGTTCCAACAACAATACTGGAGGCCTCTTTGGAAACACACAAACTAAGCCGGGTAGGATGCTGCATAATCAACTCTGTTGACAGGTCAATGTAGGCATTCCCTGTTTAAAATCATTAATTGGTCCCACAAAAACAATAATTAGGCTGTTCCCATGAGAATGTAAATTTGATAGTGGAATCATTGGCTGGAGGATATTAACGTGAGATTTCATGACTTTGTAATGGGGTTTGGTTATAAGATATTAATGTTATCATTGGAAAATGATCAGGTATCTTGATGAGGATCATACTTGTAAGTGGTATTAGAATTCATCTAATCCAAGAAATTCTCCCTTAGAATCATTTTCTTTCGGTTTGTGTTTTCAGGAGGCTTATTTGGGTCAAATTCATTTAGCCAACCAGCTACCTCCTCTACAAGCACTGGCTTTGGATTTGGAACATCAACAGGGACATCAAATAGCTTGTTTGGAGCTGCTAGCACAGGAGCAAGTCTCTTCTCATCCCAGAACAATGCCTTTGCACAAAATAAACCTACTGGTTTTGGAAGTAAGTAGGACAGTGTTGGTTATTGGACAGATAAGTAATAGATGGGATGGGGATGGGGGATTTTTTTTTTTTTAATCAGTGACCTAATAGTCAAGGCTTAAAAGTTTAAATTTGTGTTTTAAAAAATTCAGAGGTAGAGATATTTGATCAGACGAGAATAGCAGGGAAGGAAGGTATACAGTTATTGATTGAAAAGATAAATTTGTAGTGGTTTTCTTAGTTCACTATTTTTAAAAGCCTTAATCATAAATGTATACAGAACTATTGTCTTGATAGGTTGTTACCTTTGTAAGTGAGTTTCAGTTAATTTTGATTCAGTAAATTTTTGTTAAACCTCTACTATGAGTAGAGCTCTATACTAGGGCCATAGAAAATTCTAAGTGATTTATTCCAGAGACTCAGATTCCTCTCCAGTTAGCATTTCCTTTTTCTTTCTTGTAGATTTTGGAACAAGCACTAGCAGTGGAGGTCTCTTTGGAACCACAAATACAACTTCCAATCCCTTTGGTGGCACATCCACCTCCCTTTTTGGACCCAGTAGTTTTACAGCAGCTCCTACTGGAACCACCATAAAGTTTAATGTAAGTGATTTTTTTCCCCTTTGTTTCTTTGGATGAAAGTACTAGAACTTTTGTATCCTAGGATTACATTAAAAAAATTTTCTGTCTCTGTAGCATGTGACCTGATCTGCCATCCTATCAATTATAAACATTAACACAGAAATTCAACCCAATGGACATGCTCTATATTAACTTAGATACTAGGTTTCTTTATAAGATTTTATTTTTTAATAATACTAATTGACATTTTAAGTTGAATTTTAAGTAGTGTCAAAAACAGCTCAGTGGGACTGTGAAAATCATCTAGTCCAATTTCTTGCCCTTTGGAGAAATCTGTTCTAGAATGTTCCAGATGTTATCCAGCTGCCTCTGTCTTATAAGACTGCTTCCTACAAGAAACTGCCTGTCTTAAAAGTCAATATATTCCATTATTGGCTCGTTTTGATCATTTGAAAGTTTTTCCTTTGATTAGGTGGGACCTGCCTCCCTTTACTTCTCCACATTTTTCTTTTTCTTTTTTGGTGATGGTTAGCACTTGTATATTTTTGCCGTCTATAAATGAGTGTTATCCATGAAGTCTAGTGAAGTGTAACTGACTCCTTTTCACCTCTAGCTACCTTGTATGCTGGCTAGCATTGCAGTTTGTGAAATTCAGTGGGAGCCCATTTATTTTGTGCGACCAACTGCAGACCATTGCTAACTTTGCAATCAGGGCACAGTACTTGATACCTTAGAAAGGAGTATGCATGTTGGGAAGATCCCAATGTCTTGTCTCTGTACTGCCTTTCCATTTTATTAACTGCTTATTGCCTCTAAATCCTGATATTGGATTTTTTAATACCAGTGATGAAGCCTGGTGATTAGTGGTAATCAGTCTGTGTTTATGGGATTTTAGTGCATATAAATAATTGGGGGGGGAAATGCAGGGGGCAGCTAGATGGTACAGTGGATAGAATACCAGCCCTAGAGTCAAGAGGATATGAGTTCAGATCTGATTTCAGACACTTGATCTTTACTAGCAGTATGACCCTAGGCAAGTCACTTAACCCCAGTTGCCTCCAAAAAAATTAATTTGGGGTCTAAATGGCTAGCCATTAGTATATTTAAGGATGAAAGAAGAAAGGAAGATAAAATGTAGAAAACTTCACTTTGGGTACCTTTGTGTAAAGCTCCCCCTTAAGAAGGATATGGAGTTGTCCATCAGTTTCTGTGGTAGTTAAAACATATACCTAAATCAGTGAAATGGCAAAATGAGGTAATAGTGGGTTTTTTTTCAGATAGGTAAAGTGGAGGATTCCATTGGAAGGGAGGAAACCACATTTGTTCCTACATATGTATAGAATACCACAAGGTTTTATAAGATGCAGGTGATGCCCAGGATAGGTTTAGAAGTGGTATTTTTAGCACACAGTGAAGAAGTTACTCCAGAGAGTACTGCAGGTATTGCAGTGAATTGAAATTCTTGGATTTTGGGTTTTGAATTGAAAATAAAGTGGAATGTAATTGACAGTGTAGAATCTCATTTAATTCCCGAGAAAAACCACAGAAATTGGAAAAATAGTGAAAATAGGAATGTAGGTTTCATCCAATACATTTTTCTTCAATAATGTTGGGCCCTAAAAAAATCGAATTTAAAACAAGTAATGTTTTAAAAGAATCACAACAGTAAAAAAAAAAAAATAGTTTGGTGATAGAAGAGAGATAAAAGTCAGTACAAATGTAAGTTTTTGATCAGGTCTAAAATACAGTTTTTGTATGTGTATGTAATGTTATGAGAACAATTATTCTACTCATAATAATTGAATATTGATTCGCTGAACTTAGATTTGTATAACCATGTGGTATCTGTAAGAGCTATGCTATTTATTTTGACTTATTCAGGTACCTGTGGTATGTGCAAGAGTGAAAAATGCTTGCATATTTGAAGAAGTGCTAAAGTAAACTACAGGTAGTCACTCCTGCTCGATTTTCTTATCTGTAAAATGGAGGAAAAATTTAGCAATTACCTCACAGGGCTATTGTCAGATTCACACAAAATGATCCACAGTGCTTTGTAAACATAAAATTGATACATGTCACTTGTTAAAATATTGCTCCTGATGCTGAGTGAAGTGAGCAGAACCAGGAGAACATTGTACACAGTAACAATCACATTATGCAGTGACTAACGTTAATAGACGTAGCCCTTCTCAGCAATGCAAGGATCTAAGACACCTTCAAAGACCTCATGATGGGAAATGCTGTCCACATCCAAATAAAGAACTATGGAGTTTGAATGCAGATCGAAGCATACTATTTGCTCTTTTTTTTCCTTCTGTTTTGTTTTGTTTCCTCTTTCTTGTGGTTCCTCCTATTGGTTTTAATTCTTCCTTACAACATGACTAATGTGAAAATATGTTTAACAGGAATGTATATGTATAGCCTGTATTACATTTCGAGCTGTCTTGGGAAGGGAGAGGGAGAAAAATTTAAAACTCAACAGCTTGTGGAAGTGATTGGTGATAAATCAAAATAAGTTTTAAAAAAATAAAATATTGCTCTTATTATTTACAACCTGGCTCTCGGGCCAAAATTGGTACAGAAATTGTGAGTTGAGATGATGAAAGCACGAGAGCAGAAATAATGTTTGATGTTAAAATTTCATGATGTTTCTTCTTCCCTTTATAGCCTCCAACTGGTACAGATACTATGGTCAAAGCTGGAGTTAGCACCAACATTAGTACCAAACACCAATGTATCACTGCTATGAAAGAATATGAAAGCAAATCACTGGAGGTCAGTATACTACAATGTATTATTGATAAGCTTGGCCCTATATCTTTATCCCTAAACAAGCTTTTGTGATATAGTGGAAGGAGCACTGGACCTGAAATTGAAGTAGGTTTTGGTACCCACTTTGCCATTTGTTAACCATCTGGCCTTGGGGCGCCTCTGTGAGCATTCTTTTTTTATCTGTAAAAGGGGAGTAATAATAAATAATGCTTGCACTACTTATAACAGGTTTGCACAACATACAGCCTAAGGGCTGTACTCCTGTTTGTCATGTGACCCATGGCAACCAACTGTCATCAGTCTGTCTCTAGTTACCTTTACTTGGAAAGTGAGCCGCTAAAAACCTATCTGCAGCCTGAAGAAGTTTAGCTCATTTTAATTTTGGCTTCTACTTGCTGCCAAGTTGTGCAGGTCTGGCTTATAAAATTGTTTTGGGAATTAAATGAGATAATTTATATAAAGCATTTTATAAGTGAACTGTTATCACCTTTGCATAATCTTTTATTTCTAGAGTTAAGGTGTTAATGAACTTAAACTTAAAATGAGCTAGATTTTTTGTAAAACAAGTAGTCCTTTTTTAAAGAAAACTTCATTTTTTTATATTCTGAAATTACAAATACCAAATAAAAGGACCATTTCCATGCACAGGAGAGGATTATACATGAAATTATGGATCTCTTACAGAGCTTGCTTTTATATATGTAAAATGAATTCATTGGATAACTTTCAAAGCTGTCATGATGTCTTATTCTATATCTTCAGTCCATTACTTTTCTGTCTGGAGGCGAATAGCATGCTTCATCTCTGGATACAATCCTCTGAAATCATGGTTGAGTCATTACATTGATCAGAGTTCTTAAGCCTTTCAAAGTTGTTTACTTTTAAAATGTTACTGTTATAGTAGAAATTGTTGTCTTGATCCTGCTCCCTTTATACCAGTCTTCTCTGACTTCTCTGAAACCATTTCTGCCATAGCAGTATTTCACTATATTTATATTCTGTAATTTGTTCAGTCATTACCAATTGATAGAGACCACCTTAGTTTCCAGCTCTTTGCCACTACAAAAAGAGCTGTTATAAATGTTTTTACATAATTGTCCTTGTCCTTTTCTTTTGATCACTTTAGGTTATGGGCCTAGTAATGATGTTGCTCAGTCATAGTATATACCCAGTTGAGTAATTTTGGGGTCGGAATTCTAGATTGCTTTCCAAAATGGCTATATCACTTCATACCGCCCCCAGCAGTGCATCAATGTACCTATTTTCCCAAAGCCTTAAAAAACATTTTAATTTTTTTTAACTTTACCAATTTGATAAGTATGAGAAAAAACCTCAAATTTACTTTAATTCATATTTCTCTTAATTATTCATGATGTGGAGCATTTTTTCATATGTCTGTTCATAGCTTAGATTTCTTCCTTTGAGAATCATCAAACAAGGGGGAATTTATTTTCAGGTTATAGGGGATCTAATGCATTTAACACATTGATAAGAATTATTGAACTTTTGCAGTAGCCTCCTTAAAGGTCTTCTCAACTCCATTTTTTCTCAGCCTCTACCCATCCAGCAGGAGCTGACAGAATAATCTTTATGGATTTAGTTGTGCCATTCCTCTGCTCAGAAATATAAATGGTTTTCTGCTGATGTCTAAATGAAGTTTATTATCTTCTAGCTTGCATTTAAGACTTTATGTAACCTGGTGCCATCCTACCTTTCTAGCTTTATCTCATTATTTTTCTTTGTACATTCTATGCTTTGGCCAGTTTGTACAACTTTCTGTCTTTCAGACATGCATTGCGCTCTTAGCCTTCTATGCTGTTATTTATGTCTGGAATATCCTCCCTCCCTTTCTTTGCCTAGTGAATTCCTAGCCATTCTTGAAGGCCTGATTCTAATGCCATTTTGTTCTGGAAATGTTCCCTGAAACTCAGATTTCCCTGATGTTACCAACATTACTTTTCAGACCTCACTTCTAACTTCATTTTGTTAACTGTAATGCATTTATCTGTACTGTAAAAGACTGCATGTCATCTATGCCAGAATTCTAATCTGGAAGTAAGTTCTGTGAGGTCTAAACTTAGTGTCTTTCTTATCTAAACTTTGTATTTCCCTCAACATGAAGCACAATGTTTTCCATATATTTTTTGTTGTTGAATTCTTTTAAGAGATCCCTTTGTTCTCTAGTTTTATTTTAGAATGAATATAGCATTAATGTCTAACAGCTAGGTTGTGTCGTGAGTAGAATGCCACACATGAGTCAGGAAGACCTAAGTTCAAATCCAACCTCAGATATCCTTAACTATCTGTGTGACCCCAGGCAAGTCATTTCACCTCCTATCTGTCTTAGTTTCTTTATCTGTAAAATGGTGATAATAATAGCACCGCTTCCTCGGGTTATTGTGAAGATCAAGTAAGATAATTCTAAAGCACTTAGTACAGTGTCTGGCACATAGTAAGTGCTATGTAAATTTTTGCTGCTGCTGCTATATGATTTGCCTTTAGTGCTGGGGAAATTATTCATTCCTATGCTTTTCTGTATGGGCATTCACATGGAAATTTGAGCAATCAGATATTCATTTACCTGTGAAATGACTGGGAATGTTATGGTGTTTCTTTTCTTAGGAACTTCGTTTGGAAGATTATCAAGCTAACAGGAAAGGTCCTCAGAACCAGGTGGGAGCAGGTGCCACCACAGGGCTGTTTGGCTCTTCTACAGCAACTTCCAGCACCACAGGCCTCTTTGGAAACTCTACCACTAATGCAGGTTTTGCATATGGGCCAAATAAAACTGGCTTTGGGACAAGTAAGCACAGATAATCTTAAATGGATTATATTAGTTTTCTTTTATATTGGTAATTGGCTCCATGTTGTATGCTAAGGATAGTAACATTGTGTTAAGTGAACTGCTTGGTTTCCTTTTTGTAATTGCTTTATTAAAAATTCAACATTGTACATCAATACAATGGACTAAACTTTCTTAGTAACAACTCACATTTAAATTAATTTCACTATTTAAACTAATGTGTGTTATTCTCCCTCACTCCTTCCTCATCAGGTTTCTTTGTCCATTTTTTCTCATTTACTTCTCTTTATGGTAAGGGTAACATGTTCTGGTTCTACGTTTTTCACTTTGCAATAATTTATGAAAGGCTTTCCGTATGTTTTTCTTCCTTATGCTTGACCATCTTAAATGCATTATAATACTTCTTTTCATTAATGTGCCACAATTTATTTAACCATTCTCTTGCTGTTGGACATTTAGATGGTTTCTAGGTGATATTTTTTTGTGGTGTTTTTTATTTTTACAATTAACATGCACTGCTATGAAAATCTTGAAACATATAAAAAATAAATAAAATTATTAGATCAAAGGGTAAGATTGTTTTTGTAACTTGTACTGTGTATTGTCAGATTACTCTCCAAAAAGATTTGATGGTTTTGCTTATAGAGTGTATCTGTTCCTTCATATCACGCCAGCATTGTTTCCTTGCTTTTAATTATCTTTGCCAATGTGATAGGTAAAAAAAGTATCAAGAATTTGAAGTGGTACTTCAGAGTTATTTTAATTTGTATCTCTGATTATTAGTAAGGTTGAGCATTTCTCAAGTGGTTATTAGCAATTTGTTTCTTTTGCAAAAAGTATCTTTATTTCCTTTTACCATGTATCTGTTATGGATTAGGCTCCCTTTGCTTTCAAGAATTGGATTCCAACAGTGGAAAGAACGCTGGATTTAGAGTCAGAGGATCTAGGTTTGATTCCTAGTTTTGCCACTTACTGACTTTTTTACCTGTGGCAAGTCATTTAACCTTTTGAGCCTTAGTTTCTTTATCTAAAAAATGAGAGGATTGGATATGATGACCTCAACTCTAAATCTTTGAAGGGGAAGGAAGAAAGGAACAGCATTTATTAAGTTCCTGCTATGTGCCAGGCCCTGTCCTAAGCACTTTACAAATATTCTCATTTGATTCTCAGTAATCCTGGGAGGTAGATGCCATTATTATCTCCATTTTACAATTGAGCAAACTGAGGCAGACAGCAGTTAAATTACTTGCCTAGGGTCACACAACTAGGAGGTATATAAGGTTAGATTAGAACTCAAGTCTTCCTGACTCCAGGAAAGCTCTCTATCCATTATGCCACCATGTTGCTTGTGTGAATTGATCCTATGACTTAACTTCCAGGAGCTTTCATGGTTCACCTTAAGAAAAGCATGTAGCACATTGTGGAAGGCTATGTTAAATGAGGCGGTCTGGTGAGGTAGAACACAACCAGTGGACTAGAACTCAGGATACTTGGGCTTAAGTGCTGGTACCGCTGAGATTTTGGATAAGGCCCTTAATCCCTGTATACCTCAGTTTCTTTGCTTGTAAAATGTAGATAATCATTGTACTTCCCACCTTTCAAAGTTGTCTGAGGTGAAGTCATGAGATATGAGCTATATGAAAAGGGCTTAGCTGTGAGGGGACTATATTTGCAAACTGTTACTCTTTAAATGCTTGCAGGAGTTTGCTTCCTTCTATGTATAACCAGTATCTACTTAGAGAAAAAAAAAACCAAGTATAGAATATGTTCTATAAGATTTCAGCTATAGATGGGCTGCTGATATTTTCCCTGAATTTATTTTCTTTTGTATTTTATTTTTTGCCTGAAAGGTACAACTGGATTTGGGACAAATACAGGTAGCCTCTTTGGTCAACCAACTCAGCCAACCACCAGCCTTTTCAGTAAGCCATTTGGCCCAGCTGCAACCACCCAGAGTACTGGCTTTTCATTTGGGAATACCAACACTCTTGGACAGCCAAACACCAACACTATGGTAAAGAAAAAAATACATAGCACAAGGGGACTGACTAATAGGGAGGGGCACAGTGCTGCTGCAGTTCTCAAGAGCCAGTCATGCCAGTCCAATTGGCTGCCTGGGAGCTGCTATGCTTCTGCTTGTGAATCTTGAACAAATTTCCCCCTTCTGGTAATGCTTGGCCTTCCCTTGCCCTTCAAGACTTCCTCCTGTGGAAGTAATCTTCCCTTATCTGAAGTCACTTCTCTTTGTCCTCTTCTATTGTACTCTGTTGTAATCGTTCATATTTGTGCCTTCTCTTCCCTATTAAGTTGTACAAGTACTTTGAAGGTAGAGACCATGTCTTATTTATCTTTGTGTATATGTGTTTCTGCAGTAGAGTACCTTGCACGTAGTAGATATTATTGCAGGTGTTTATAGCTTGAACGAATGAATACTTTTCCAGTGTCTGTAGGTTTTTTAAAGTAATTTATAACAACCAAGTTCTTTAGAAGTTGTGAATCTGAAATTTGGATTGCCTTCATGCTGGTTATGGTTGTGGGTCCTGTAGAAAAGGGCGTTATATTTCTTATAAATGATCATTAACTCTTTTCTTAGGGGCGGCTAGGTGGTGCAGTGGATAGAATGCCAGACCTGGAATCAGGAAGACCTGAATTCAAATCTGGTCTCAGACACTTGCTGTGTGACCCTGGACAGGTCACTTAACCTTGTTTGCCTCAGTTTCCACATCTATAAAATGATTTGGAGAAGGAAATGGCAAACCACTCTAGTATTTTTGCCAGGAAAACCTCAGAAGAGGTCATGAAGAGTCGGGTCTGACTGAACAACAACCATTGACCCTTTACTAGTAAGGGTCAATTTAAGGTTGCATTGAAAAGATTACTTCCCATTCTCACCACTTTAATTCATTATCCTGTTTTTATGTGTTTTCTTCAAATTATGTGCAATTTAAATAAGCCATATTATTAGAAGTATCGGGCAGTTGAAACCTGTTTAATTTTAATCGAAATGCTTTTTTTTTTCTTCTCAATGCCATGTTTTGGAGATTAACAAATTTGCCTTGTTTTCAGTGGTCTTGTTTTCATGGAAGATTATATAACTAGTTGCATAATGACCTCAAAAAGTCTAGTTTTTTAAGATAATAATTAGATCTTTTGGCCTTTTTATTTTATTTTATTTTTGCAAAGGAAGTAACTGGCCCAAATTAGCACTGCACTAGCAACAACTTTACCATCTTTCAGAGTATCTGCCCTTTGGGTCCTAAAAGCAGTGTTTGGTAGCAAGAGAATTAGCTGCAAAATCTGTTAACTAACATGCTTGAAGTTGCTTCTTATCTTTAGTTGACTGTATGGTACTATGGGGCAATTTATAAGACAAATTGGGATTGGCATGTTTGCATTCAACCTAGATTACTGTTTGCAGGGTTTATTCGGGGGAACTCAAGCCTCATCTGGAAGTCTTTTTGGGACAGCTACAAACACGAGTGCTGCCACTGGATTTGGAACAGGAACAGGCCTCTTTGGGCCAACCAACACAGGATTTGGTGCTGTTGGTTCGGTATGTTTTCAGTGTTGACTGTGATTTGATTGTCCATGGATGTAACCTGCCCTTTAAAAATTAATACAGTGACAAGTATTTATGAGGAAAGGCTAACTTTGCCTGTTTTTAATCTGTTTCTAGAGAGTCCATTATATGGTTTGATAATAAGAGTTTAATAATTTTATATATGTGACTTTGTGCTTATTATGTGAAGAACTTGTTTAATATAGCTCAGTAGCGATTAGAGGCAGCTATAAGACTCCTTTAGCAGTTTTATTTTCAATATCAAAATCTTGGGATTTTGGTTTGATTTTTATTGCTAATGCTTTTAATGTACTTCTGGATTATTGTTCTGTTGAAATATATAATTAATTGCACAACATTATTGTTGAAGGTGAATAGAAATGATAAAACATTCTGTTAGTTTCAAATCAGACTATGTTCCTTTGCCTAGTTCTGTCCTCTGACCTTGAGCAGCACTCATTATGGTGTTTGTAGAGTAGTCTTTTTGGTGGTTACCCAGTTTCTGATGACTTTCATGCTGGCAGCCAAACTATTGGCTTCATGACCTTGTAACATAACTCAATTGAAGTGGTTTAAATCCTAAAACAAAATTGTTATTAAAATATACATGTGGTTATAATGATAACAGCTGACAATTACATAGTGCTTTTAGGTTTCCAAAGCTTTGTTTCAGTAATGAGAATAAATCATATTTTGCTAGTTGTAATAATGGAGTTGACATATAAGCTACAATGTGACATGATACGAATATCTCTTGTATTATACGCTGCAACTGGTAATGTGACATGGGGATGTGGAAAGAGTGCCAAAGTAGACTTGGTTTTCCAGTTTCTTGAGCATAACTCTTAACCTTGAGCCACAGTTCTTATCTCTCAATTAAGCATAACTTTTTTGCATTCCACATCTCAGAGAGCTATTGTGAAAATAGAATGCTTTGTAAACTATAAAGTACTACATAAATTTGGGTTTGTTATTGTATCACTTAAAGTGAAGAGGGAGTTGGGGTGGGAGAGTATCAATCCTGTGATCCTGGAGCTTGTATTCTGATATTTCTAGCCAGGTAAGTGAGGTTGAGGAATTGAGAGAACTACAAAATGTTTTTCCAAAATTTTTACAGTGTCTTTGTCTTTAATTACTATAACTTTGTTTTAGTAGAACATCAGTTTTATAAAACTCATTACAGTAGCCAAGTGTTTAACTACCAGTGTAGGTTTCTTCTTTCTCCTCACTCTTTATGTTAATATTTTTGCAGTTTCCTAGACTTTGATATTATGCTGCAAAAGATCATAGTGCTTTTAGGTGAAGTTGTTGATCTGCTTGACTCATTCCACTCATTACTTCTTGTATTAAAGGAAATACCTCGTAATATTTTAATATGTATTATATTCTCTTCCTTTCTAGACCCTGTTTGGCAGTAACAAGCCTGCTGCATTTGGAACTACTACAACCAGTGCTCCTTCGTTTGGTACAACCAGTAGCGGGCTCTTTGGTAACAAACCAACCCTGACTTTAGGAACCAATACAAACACTTCCAATTTTGGTACATATAAAAAGCAGGGTTAACTCTCTTAAGTTACACTGACTATGCCACACTCCAGGTCACCAATCTCCTAAAATTAAATGATTTTGAATAATTTAAAATGCTCAGGTAAGCCATGAGAGGTTATGAAAGACAAAGTTATAAGTCATGAACAGTGATTAATAAAACTTGTATCCTTAATTTTTTTAAAAAAACTCATTCCCATAGAATTGAATCCTGTTCATCCTTTCCCAGTTCCTCCTCTCCCCCAACTTAGAGGTTACCTTAGATCCCTAAGAAGTACATTGACCACCTGGCACAATGCCTTATACCTTCGTGTGATTGTTTATTGATCTAAGATGATTTTGTGGCATGCCTGATAAAGAAGTTGCTTTTTGTGTAATAACCTAGTCAAGGGCCATCTCCAGTTGTCCTGATCTATATCTTGCCACTGTACCCAGATGGCTCAGGAGGAGAAAGTGAGGCAGGTGACTTTGCACAGCCCTCCTCTCTTAAATCCAATTCACTTGCAAGTCATGACATCACCTCCTGATGTCATGGTCCTCTTTTAAGAATGAAGGACAGGGACAGCTAGGTGGTGCAGTGGATAGAGCACTAGCCCTGGAGTCAGGAGGACCTGAGTTCAAATTTGGCCTCAGACACATAACACTCACTAGCCATGTGACTCTGGGCAAGTCACTTAACCCCAATTGCCTCACCAAGAAAAAAAAAAAAAGGATGAGGGACAAAAACAAAATCCTAGTCAGAATGTGTACTGACAGCATATGTGCTAGCCTTAAGGCCCTAGCAGTTATTTTCTAGGAGATGCTTTTTGAAACAAGATTATGGTACCCAAATGATCAGTGTATAGTTGTTTTAATATAGAAATTCAAAAACTGAATCATGACATACATCCTTAAATTTAATATACTGGATCATTATATGTATTTCTGGAACTTTAAAATTCATTAATGAGGGCATTATCTTGTCTTAAAGGTCTGGTGACAATTCCTGACAGACCCATTTAGATTTTTCTTGGAACCAATTTTTTTTTTGTAAAGTTTTATATTGTCTTAGGAAATATCTCTTTGGGAGATAGTGAACTAAGAGACTTGATTAGTGTAGGTCAGCAGACACAGGTTAAATATCAACATAAATGTTATTCCCAGGCCAGCAATGAGTTTTTAAAAGCTTTAATATTGGAGAAAAAGACAAGTCTGCTAAGATATTGAGGTGTGGAGTTCATGTTATTTTGGGAATTCTGAGCTTTGTCATCATTATGTTGTGCAATGCCAGTGAGGCAGCAGCTAGACTGTGGTAGGGTAGCATTTTAATCTTAAGTTCATGAATTTGGTGTTATGGGACACTGTATCATCCACTTCCATTAATGATTTTGGATTTGTGCTTAAAAGTGTCTCTGGTCATAGTTTATGAGAAAGAACAATATTTTCACTCGGATCTGTGATAGTAGACGCTTAGCAAGCACAAACGAAGCATTAAATCTTTGTCCTCTGATTTCTTAGCTAGAAAATGATTTCTATAATCATATACTTGCTAACCATGGAAAGTACTGTAGACGTCTTCTAGTCCAACTTTCTCCTTTTGATCATCTCCTTTTTGATCTCCCCTAATAGGTGGTCATCAAGCTTCTTCTTACTACATATGTGACATGAGATGGAGCTGTGAGATATGTACAGCAGTACCATAACTGTGCTTTCAACTTGTAGATCTGGATATAATATTTCTTTTTTGGCTGTTGGGGAAATTTTGTAAAATATGTATTAGAAATAGTGAATCAACTAGTATGTTTCCAATAGTGGGTCTAGCTTTCTGCATGTTGATTTGAAGTACAATGGATTCACAGTCTGTAATCTTTGTGACTGTCACCTACCCAGTGTGCTAGATTCCTAATATTTGTAAAAGGACCTCTTCCTTAAGAGGCAGTTAGCAAATTCTTTGTCAGTGTTAAAAAGTATGTAATATATAAGCAGTGAAATATAGGCTTTGTTTCCTCCAGGTTTTTTGTTTGTTTATTTGTTTTTTAGTCAGTTTGTAAACTTTTTGTTATGCTGCCAAATGATAAGCAGAAAGCCCCCCCCTTTTTTTTTAGTAGAATCTGAAACTTTGGCTTAATAATTAGCTGATTTACCTCATTTCATTTTTCAGGGGACTCCCTCTAACCTATTAGAGTCCTCCTTCCTACCCTCCTCACCCCCTTTTTGCTTGCTGCAACTTGCTGATAGTTTTTTCCTTGTTTATGAGCTATTAAAATTCTAAAGGGGGGTTGTCACTTAACAAACTTTGCATTTCAAATGACATTAAAAGGTCAACCTTTTTTTTTTTTAGTACTTAAACGTTCTTAAATTCTATGTTTTGCACTCTTTCAGCAGTGGAAAGAGAAATCCTAGTATTATGTATCAAGAGCTATATTATAACATCAATAACAGCTAGCATTTATATAGCTCCTATAATGTGCCATGTACTTTATAAATATTATATCAGTGACTCTTACAACAGCCTCAGGAGGTAGGTACTATTACTATTCCGATTTCACAGTTGAGGAAAATGCAGCAAATAGAGGTTAAGTGACAAGCTCACCCACATAGTAAGGTTGTCTTTTGTTTAGCTTTGAACTTGGTCTTACCGATTCTAGGCCCAGTGCTCTATCTACCACATCACCCAGCTGCCATATTATCTGTCCTTAGTTGATGGGCTTTCCCCTAAGTCCCAGAGACTCTCTTTATACTGTTCCTTCCCTTTCCCTTTGATGTGCTCAGGAGGCCTTTTCCTGTTGGCTTATTTTTAGTCCAAAGTTAACTCTGTTCTCTTTCTGTCATGACCTTTCATTGATGTGGTTGATTTTGCTTCGCTAAATAACATAAGACAGCAGAAATCTTGGGAAGATGAGTATATGTAAAGAAGGAAGAGTAGAGTAGTGTAGACGTATCTTTGGAGATAGCTAAGGATTTTAAAGGAAAACCTTCAGCTTTCTCAATTTCATTAAATGATTTATCAGTGAGGAAAGGGACATTGTTGAATTTTCGAGCATTTTTTCTAGCGGAGAACTGAAGAGGCACCGCAGTTAATCTAGAAATCACTTACCTTTGCCTTTTGTATTCCTAGCATGATATGCAAGTTGATACTTTCATACGTGTTCAGCCACATATGGTCTTGTCTATCTTTGCCTCTGAACTGGACAGCACTGTTGATAGTATGAATAATTGATGATGGGCTATATAGATTTTTAAATCAGTAAAGTATATTGATTGGAACAGCGTTTTTAATTAGAGGAATTAAAGTCTCTGGCTTGACAACTGATTGTGAACTGTATACTTTGACCATAGATTAGGAAGGTCATGTGTGTTGGCAATGTTATAAGCTTTCCAAGAAGGATGTACCTTAAACTGAAGTGTAGCCATGTTTTTCTATTGAGTATTTGAGTATTTCCCTCTTCAGTGCCAAAATATCATCACAGATCTTTTGAAGATTTGAGGAAATAACTCAGAAACCCTTTTTCCATGTCATGTAGAGAATTCAATAGCATAATTGACCTACAGATTGGGAAAGCTTAAGCCATATAATCATTGTAAGAATTTCAGGCTTTGGCCATATTTTTTTTTGTATGTTAGGGGAAATTTTATGTTGCCTTTAGAGCAGAGTCATCAACTTCCTTTGACCTTTCAGGTTTTGGTGGAAGTGGGAATATTTTTGGAAATAAACCAGCACCTGGTACTCTTGGAACAGGACTTGGAACAGGCTTTGGAACGGGAACAGGTAACTAATACTGGTACCATAGGAAAGTTCCCAAAGAGAGGGCTGTGTTTGTTTGTCCCCGTCTTCCATTTGGCTTTCATGCTTCCACTTCTTATTGTGCTGGGACACTAGAAGTGGGAGAACCAGATTTTCATTTTCACAGAAGAGATGCTGAAAGCGTTTTGTTTTATTTTGCTTTTGTTTTGTTTTGGTTTTTTAGCTACACACTTGAGTCCATTAATTAATGACTTGTTTGTCCTAGAGACCCTTGGCTTCCTTTTCTTACTAGCCTTTGATTCTTTGGAAGACATAGTAAACTTTTGTGATGAGGTGTTACAGCATCCAGAGGACTGTAGGCCTTGGTACTCATGTTGTCATAACAATCTCATTGCAAGGTTTTTTTGTGTTGGCCTTGTCGTCAACTAGGTTCATCTCTGTTTAGTTTAAACATTTGTGAATAGAAAAGCCCAGTAGCTAGCAGGTACAAGCAAAAATTCTCTACCATTTAAAAGAACAAATTAGTTGGATTTTGTAGCACTACAGTTTACCTATTACAAATTCAAAACTTAATAATAGGTTGATGGGCTAAGTAGCTTAGCTTTAGAAATATTTGTTTTATTCACAGAAAGGTTTCTTTGCCTTGAAATGAGAGGTGACTTTGAAGAATCTAAACAAAATTATTATAATCTAAGTCACTTGAATCTGCCATAGCCCTCAAAAAAGACTTATTTTGACTGACAGTTTTCCCCCCTTCTTCCCATAGCTCTTAGTGCTGGGCAGGCATCTTTATTTGGAACCAACCAGCCCAAGATAGGGACGGGGACCTTGGCCACAGGAGCTTTTGGAACCCCTGGATTTAGTGCTACAACAGCTACCTTGGGTTTTGGTGCTCCTCAGGCTCCTGTAGGTAAGTACTGTGCCTTTGACAGGCTTCCTCAAGTGCTTTTGTGTTATATCATCCTACTGACCTTAAAGTTAGTCAACAAATTATTTCTGGTTATGTAGTCTGAGGTTTTAGAGATGTTCATTTTCCTTTATAGTCTTCTCCTATTCCATATTGTTATATGAAAATGTTCATTTTACTTGATGTTTATGCTAAAAATAAAATGGAAAAATAGTACTGAGAAATTATTACTGTATGGAACCGGAAAATAGATCTTGGTATGCCTTGTTTCTCTTCCCCAGATACTACTGCTAGTCTCCTAGGTTTAGCTCCATCTAATATTTACAAGAACAGCCTTTATAAGGAAATTTTTCTAGTTGGGTAAATGGCTAGAGGATGAAGCCTCTTGAAGGCAGTGCTCTCTCTGTTGCCAGTGTGCAGCAGGCCATTAGCTTTGGTGGAATGTATGTGCCACATTGTACAGGAAACTTAACCTTGCTCTTTCTTTGACTTTATGAAGCTTTGACAGATCCGAATGCTTCTGCTGCTCAGCAGGCTGTTCTCCAGCAGCATATCAATAGTCTGACATACTCACCATTTGGAGACTCTCCTCTTTTCCGGAATCCGATGTCAGACCCCAAGAAGAAAGAAGAGGTAAGTTAGAAACATTTAGGGATTTGCATGGGAAATTTCCTCATCAAGGAAGGGGAACTTTGTAGACAGACATCACTGTCGTACTATTTGGGGTAATAGTCTTTGTCTGATCCCAAACCCTATGAGGTCTGACCAATAAAAAGTATAGTGAGGACTGTCACTGTTGTTGATCTGGGTACTACTATTAATATATCAAAGGTGGCAGTAATTCTTTTTAATAGCTACGCTGTGCTATTGGCTCATTGAACTCACTGTTAGGTAAAACCCTCTTATCCCCCATCCTGTAATTGTATCATTGCTTTTAAAGTCTTAATATAGACTTTACATTTGTCCCTGACAAATTTAACTTGCTTTCAGTCCACTTTTCTAGCCTTTCTGATTGAGTCTTTGTTCATATTTTTGTCCTTTTAATAAGGAGAGCCTCTGTTCTTTATCCGAGTGCTGAGTAGAGGTTATGGGCTGGGCAAAGAAACAAATCCCTATGGTCTTCTACCAGAGGACTCTCTCTTAGGTTCACCCCGCACTCTAATCCACATTTTCTTTTGAGTTAGCTAAGAACCCACCTAATCCATAATGTGAGGCTATTATTGCCTTATTTGCCTAAGCCAGACACATGTCCTTTTTGTTATATGATGTGCCACAGTTACCTTTTGGTATTTGTATACTGTCTAGCAATTGGAGATTACCTACTACAGGAAAAGGTTTTGTATGTCTTGGTTTCATATGGAAGATTAAAATGGGATGCTTGCACTGGTTGCTTGTACCCCTGATGGGACCATGTTGAAGCTGAAATTAATCCTTGGTGGATTTTAAAACTGAGTCTTCACTTTTTGAAGCAGAGGATACATGACTTTTGTTTGTTCTGCACTTATTTGCATTTTGTGGCTCAGCTTTGAATGGACATATATATAAATGTTATATCATCTTTCTTTCACATTAGGTTGTGAGCTTGCAGGCGAGTTCCCTCTTGGACAGTGAAACAAAAATAAGATTACAAGAATTTTACTTAATGCTTCTTGGTTTTTTTGTTTTTGTTTTGTTTTTGCAGAGGTTGAAACCCACAAACCCAGCTGCACAGAAGGCTCTGACCACCCCTACTCACTATAAACTGACACCTCGCCCTGCCACTAGAGTCCGTCCTAAGGCTCTGCAGACAACAGGGACAGCCAAATCCCACCTCTTTGATGGGCTAGATGATGATGAGCCATCTCTAGCGAATGGAGCTTTTATGCCCAAGTTAGTTTGGAACACATTAACATACTGTACATTTAGAAAGAGCAAAGTTGTCACTATTGTAATCTTTATTCCTTTGTAAGCCTTTCTGTTCTCATAGCTCACTTTTTGTTCAGGTGTTCTTTGTGTGCTTAATTCTATGTGTGTGCTTCCTTAATGTGTTTCCATGTATCTGTGTTCATAATATGAATGATTTAGTATCATGGAAATCGAAAAAAATCAGCAGTTCTCCCCTTATTCCTCAAAAGTCAAAACTGCTTTTGGCATTTTGAATAATTGGTTGTTTGTAATCATGTGAATTTTTGTGTCCTTTTTATAAATGATTATGTAGATATCTAACACCTTGCTCTTTAAGCGCATTTTCATTTTGATGTTTAAATTTTTCTTTTTCTTTTTTGTCTAAATTTTTACCAAGGTAGTTGTTTAAAAACTTTTACTTTAAAAGTTGTGTAATAAAAAGAAAAAACCCTTCAGCTAGCTTATGTTTTGATAGGAGGAAGTTGCAGAGAATCCAAGATTTGTTTATTCTTATGATAGTTACATGCTGAACCTTTGTTTTGTATTCTAACAACATTAAGTTTTAGAAAACGTTTGTACTAAAAATAAAGTGAAGTAGTAGTGGATCCTGCAAGTTAAAGATTTTAGTTTCTCAGATATCAATAATTCAATCAGTGGATACCCATAAAGCAACTGATATTATGGTAAACGTCTCTTAGACATAGTCTCGGATTTTTAGGAACTTCATGCTATAGGAATACCCTGGTTTAATCCAACCCATTATCCAATATAGAGAACACAGATAAATTAAAGGCTGACTATATGATGAAAAGATCCCGGGCCTTACAAACTGAGCAATTCCAGAGAGTTCTTAGCATTTGATTAAATTACTTTTTTTTTTTTCCAATTTAAAAAATCAGTTTTCTCTCCTGCGCTATACCCCAATGACAAAAAAGACAAAATTCATGTAACAAATATGCATAGTCAGGCAAAACTAATTACTGCATTGGTCATATCCAAAATAATGTTTCATTCTTTGTACCCTGAGTCTGTCACCTCTCTGTCAGAAGGTAGGTAACTTGCTTCATCATTTGGTCCTCTGGAATTGTGGTTAGTCATTGTATTGATAAGAGTTACTAAGTCTTTAAAAATTAGTTGTTTTTACAGTTATTTTTGTATAAATTGCTCTCCTGGTTCTGCTCACTTCCCTCTTCATTGGTTCATACAAATATTCCCAGTTTCACTGAAAACATCCCTTTCATCATTTCTTCTGGCACAGTAGTGTTCTATTAGATTATATAACAAATTGGTGAGCCATTTTCCCACCTTATAGTGGGCAGCCCTCCAAAGTCACTTAGAAAGAATAAATTTGCGTCCACTTAAGGGGTGGATGAGTGCACCTGTTCTGGGAGAGTATTACATAGTTCTTGAAAATCTGTGGAATTGGATCAGGTCAAACCTAGTAGGAATGTAGCTTTATTAGGTTGTGGCTAAAGACTGACAAGACCAAAACAGGCTTATATTTTTACATTTCCCCCAAGGCCTACCTTTTCCTTCCAGAAAATGAAGCTATGAAATGGAGCTAATTTTTTCTCATTCTCCTCCTATTCCAATTTTTTTAAGTATATTATCATCCCTTTGTCATTTACACCTATAGCTTTGTCTTTGGAATTTTAAGCAATGCAGGTGGTTTATACAATTAAAAAACTTACCTGATACATTTAAAATGCAGTTTACAGAAACTGACCGACTTTTTGGGTGGAAAAACACTAGATGTAGTGTTACAAGCACTCGAATTGGAATCAGGAAAGGGTTCAAATACAAATTCTGACACTTGCTAGCAATGAGATGTTAAGTAAGTCATTTTATCCTTTTAAACCCTACCCTTCCTCTTCTGTAAAAAAGGGATAATACACACCTATCTCAGTATATTTGCAGTGAAAATACTTTGTAAACTTTAACATGCATTGTTCATTAATGTGTAAACCTTAAGGTGAGTTAATTTTATTAGGTAAACTTTGATTGCATGAAGTAGGATATATGTTTGTGTATACATATATCCTGCTATGTATGAAGACATAGAAGGATGATAGCTATAAATATGTGTATCTATAATAATAAGTATGTATGTGTGTGTATATGGTAGAATATGTTTGTGTATGTGTGTATCCTACTTTCTGCAGTATAAATTTGCCTAATAAAGATACACACTCATTGATAGAAGGTGGATAAATGGATGAATAGACACAAGTTTTCAGGCACAATCTCTTTTTGATCCCTTTTGGCTCTTAATTTGTATCTCTCTTTTCAGCATATATTTGTATATTGCCTGCTTTCCTTCCTCTCAGCTATATCATTCACCTCTCTGTACCAGTTTTCTTACATATAAAATAAAGGGGTTAAACTAGATTGGCCCTTTCAGCCTCTTCCAGCTCTTGATCTGTGGTCATCTGAATGACACTTGCTTCCTTGTGAACATGTACCTCAGGTTTACACCTTTGTCTGTATACCAGAGGAACAGATACTTGACGAGTTTTCTAGCAGATTGAAACAGTTGCAATATTTAGTCAAAGGAACATTTTTACACACACCCTGCTATTCCATATTGTTTTAGCGTTTGAAGTAGGTGAAGTGTGGTCAAGTTCTCAAGTTTTAGTCTTTTTTCTCAGAATTGTTATCTTCATCTCTTTTACAGGAAGAGTATCAAGAAGTTAGTTTTAAAGAATCTCAACAATAGCAGCCTCTTTTCTCCTGTTAGTCGGGATGCTGAAGATCTGGCCTCACCAACAGATTATCCAGAGAATGGGGAGAGGTATGCCAAGTTGTGTTAAATTGTTAAGCAGTGGAAAGAAGACTGTATCATGAGTCCTTTAAAACCTGGATTGAGCCAAAGTGTTACAGCTTGGTAGCTCTGTAGCCTTAAGCAAGTTATACATTCTCTCTCTGGGTCTAAATTTCCTTATTCATAAAATGACAGAGTTGAATTAGATGAACTTTAAGGTCTCTTTCAGTTGTGGCATCCTATGAATTCTTAAGGAAAATACCTTAGATTTTAGTATAGTAAGTCTCCTGCCTTCATGTTATTTGCTGTGTCACAAATTGTGGTAAGTGCCAGGGATATAAAACAAAGAAAAACATAGTCTTTGCCCTCAAGGAGCTTGCATTCTTTTTAATTGAGAGGAAAACAGCTATACCTATATACAGTGCAGATGGAAGTTAATCTTGAAAAGTGCTAGATGGTAAATAAATAATTTTTAAAAAAAATTTCCTTCACCAAAAAAAAAAAAAAAAAAAAAAAGATGCTAGATGTTGCAGTGGATAGAGTACTGGACCCAGAGTCAGGAAGACCTGAGTTCAAATCTAGCCCTGGATATTTGCTCACTGTATGACCTTAGGTAAGTCACTTAACCTCTGCCTCGGTTTCCCCATCTGGAAAATGAGGCACCTGCCTCACAGGGTTGTGAAGATCAAAAGAGATATTTGCAAAGTTCTTTGTAAACCTTAAAGTGCTGTATAAATGCCAACTCTTATTCTTATCATTCTTATTAATCTCAGAGGGAAGGCACTAGCAGTAAGGATCAGGGCAGTCTAGAGGCCTCCTGCAGAAGTGGGATTTGAGCTTAGTTTCAAGTGAGGATGTGGAAGTGAGAATGGAGAGCATTCTAGACATTGGGGATAGCCATTGAAAAGGCATGGTGTCAGAATATTGTTTGAGGAATAGCAGGAAGGCCAGTTTCACAGGATCAGAGTACACGGAGAAAGTAAATTCTAAGAAAACTGGAAAGGTAAGAATGGGCCAGGCTATGAAGGACTTTAAACAAGAAACAGAGGATTTTACATTGATCCTGGAGGTAATAGGGAGCTGCTAGGAACTATAAGGGAGGTGACATGGTCAGACCTCTTGTTGAAGAGGTATATAGAATATAGAATAACGCTTAGGCTTAGTCTTTGGTCCTGGGTGAAAAGCTAAGATTAAGGGATAGAAGTTGCAAGAAGGTATTTTTAAGAGAAGACAATCAAAGTCATCCTAAGAATGAATGGGATGATTGGGAAGATTCCTATCATTGTTTAGGTAGAGGCTGAGGGGGAGCATGGCCGCATGGATTTAGATTAGGCCTTGAAACCAGGAAGACTTGGTTTCAAGATAGAGGAAGTTCTCTATCTGAAAAATAGTGGCTGTGTGACCATTATGGGTAAGCTACTTAACATCTCAATGAGATGCTGACCTGAATTGGTAGATGGAGTTTCTTTACCCAGGAGTTCCTACATCAGTGAAGTCACAGATACAGTCCTAATTACGTGGCGGCTGGTCATATGTCAGGGATATTCTAGAGGACAGTTCATGCTTTTCTAGGATTGGACTAGATAACTTAAATTGTTTCTTTTACAAAATGTGGGAGTTGACATAAATGTTCTCTAAGACAGTTCTATAATTCTATTATTCCCCTCCTGTTGTTTTTAAGGGATTTTCTTCTCTAAATACTTTAAGCTTAGATTTATTCCCCCTTGATTTAAAATCTTCAGAAGGAAAGTATTCTGAAATCATGGCTGGGAATATTCCTGACCACAGGTATAAAAATCCAACAAAAGATGTAATTTTCTTGTTTCTGAGTTTTGAACATATAATATTTTTATTTTAAAACAAGTCATATCCTTATGTCATTTTGAATACGATTTTGATTCATTTTATTATTCTTTAATGTGTATCCTGACACTATTGACTAGAAGGGACATGTAACCATTAAAATCTAATGATTTGCCATTTATCTTGAAAGTTAATTGGCATATAGTTGGCCAAAAACTGTCTTGTTCCAACTAGATTGCTCAAATATATTCTTTTAAAAGGGTAGGTCGCAGCAGAGATTCATTTTAAACCAAGCATATCACTTGATTTCATTCTTTTCTGTAGATTTAGTTTTCTCAGCAAAGCTGTTGATGAAAACCATCAGCAGGATGGGGATGATGACTCTCTTGTGTCACGATTCTACACTAACCCCGTTGCAAAACCCATCGCGCAAACTCCTGAGAATGCAGTAAATAAACATCACAGCAGTGTGGATGATTCCATTGTTGTGTTGAACATGCGTGGTGCCTTACGAAATGGCCTGGAAGGAAGCAGTGAAGAGGCCTCTTTCCATGATGAGTCTCTGCAGGATGATCGGGAAGAAGAAGAGGAAAGTGCTTACCATATCCATCCAGCAGGTCAGAGTCAAATTAAAACAGTGTGCTGTTTTGCCGTAGTCAGTAGAAACCCATTTATTTGGCCATCATAGACTTTCATCACAGTCGTATGTGATAAAACGTATTGGTAGAACCTGAGCTTTCTGCATTATTGCTTCCATTTGATTTTCTCTGCAGAATTCTTCCCACACTTCTATTTCTCATGCTAAGCTGCATATTCATTTATTTTGGTAAGATGAATCCTGGTAAACTTGTTGCCTTGCTTCCTATTTAGGGATCGAGAACAAGACCCTCATTACTAAGGGTCTCATTATGATCCTACTCCTTTGAAAAATCATTGCCTTGGTAGTGGTTATCCACAGTTCAGAAGCATTAACTCAGTCCCTGATATCTTAACTTTCAGCCCTTGTACATTAGATCAGTGGGCCAAACTGAAATATCTTAAAGACCTCGATATCTTGATCAGAAGGCCTTTTGCATCATGGAGCAACAGGTGCCTCCTGTTGTGGATAAGGCCTGGACAATGCCTGCCTGGCTAATGTCAGTAAATTCTGAAGTCGACTAGTAGTGGCTCTGATTGTCTATCCAGTTGTCTTATTGCCATAAGGTGTGCCTTCCATCTTCTTGTGATACCCTGATCACTACTTTCTTTATATAATGTAAATTAAGGATAGCTACAACATAATGTGTAACATCTGCCTATTATTATAGCGTAGCATACCCTTTTTGTCTTTTAGTAACTCCACTTTCCAACTTTCCTTTTACTATGATAAAATTATTACATGTAATCTTCCAAATTTCTTTTCATTTCAGAACCTCAAGGATTTGTGAGTCTTTTAGTCTGAGTAGTCCTTCCATTAATGTAAATTTTAATCCCTCTTCACCCAGAAGCCACTCTCCTGGCGAAGATTCTTTTTAGGCATAGTTAGGTTAATCTTCAGAAAACATCCTTTTCAATTTGGTAGGTCTAAGTTTTCGTTCTAATAATGGAACCTGAGGCCACTTTATACAGTGATGTTTGACCAAGGGCTTTAGTGGAACAGAGCAAATTTCTTTTTTCTTTTTCTTTTTTTAAATTAATTTATTTTGAATTATCAACAATCCCTTCCATAAGCTTTTGAGTTTTAAATTTTTCTCCCCCACTCTCTCTCCACCTCCCTCCCCAAGATGGTGTGCAATCTGATATAAGCTATACATATACATTCCTATGAAACATTTTCATATTAGTGATATTGTAAGTAAGAATTAGAACTAATAGGAGGAACCACCAGAAAGAGGAAACAAAACACAACAGAAGGAAAAAAATAGCAAATAGTATGCTTCGATCTGCATTCAAACTCCATAATTCTTTGCATGTGGTTAGCATTTTCCATCATGAGGCCTTTGGAAATGTCTTAGATCCTTGTATTGCTGAGAAGGGTTAAGTCTTATCAATGTTAGTCATCACATAACTTGGCTGTTACTGTGTACAACATTCTCCTGGTTCTGCTCGCTTCACTCAGCATCACACTATCCAAGTCTTTACAGGTTTTTCTGAAGTCAGCCTGTTCATCATTTCTTACAGCACAATAGTATTCCATTACATTCATATACCACACCTTGTTCAGCCACTGCCCAATTGATGGGCATCCTCTCAATTTCCAATTCTTTGCCACCACAAAAAGAGCTGTAGAGCAAATTTCCTTTTTTTTTTTTAGGCAATTGGGGTTAAGTGACTTGCCCTGAGTCACACAGCTAGTGTCAAGTGTTTGGTCTGAGGCTGTATTTGATCTCAGGTCCTCCTGATTTCAGAGCAGAGCAAATTTCTTAACCCATATTAGTCTAGCCATTGTGGTGCAGTGGAAAGAGAAGTAGATTGAGTCAGAAGATCTGAATTCATACATTGGCTCTGCCACTTATTACCTCTTTGACTTTGGAGAAGTCACTTCATCTCTCTGGGCCTCAGTTTCCTTGTTTGTAAAATGTGGGGGTTGTATTAGATGCCCTTTAAGGTTCTTTTAGCTCTAAATCTCTAATCCTAGTGCTTCTGTTTTTGTGGAGAGATCTGCAGGTAGACTTTGTCAGTGGTATGCTAGGAATGATGTTCTTTTATTTCTTTAAATGCAGCTGCTGGTTAGCCTGGCTTTTAGTTGTCAGTAGAGCTGGGAGTAGTCTTCATCATAAAACTCTCCAGCTTTTGCTTTCTTCCTATACTTCTACTTTATTCTCTTAAGCACATCTCTTGTGTTACCCTCAGACCATCATAGATATGACCAAAGGACCTCAGAACATGATAAAATTGAACTTGTCTGGGGATAAAATTAATATAGGGTATCCCAGAAGTCTTAGTGCAGATTTAAGAGACAATTAAATTTAGCAGTCACAGAGTAGTATCTAGAAACTTGTCATAGAAAAATGGGTCTTTAAAAATACAAGAGGATTGGGAAACGTTGTGTTACAATAGGAATATTAGCGGGGCTTACAATTCCTTTCCAGATACTGTTACAGACTAGTTGTGTAACTTTGGGCAAATTATTTTCCCGTCTCTCTGTTCCTCGTTGTCTTTTTCTTTCAAGTGAGGGGCAAGAAACATTTTCATTTTCAGGCCCTGACGATCTGTTGTTCTATTAAATCAGGGTAGCCAAACTGCACTAGAGAGCAGACTTGGAGTTAAAAATTGTATTTATATCCTTAAATATAATAAAAATTTTATTTAAAAATATAAAAATCATTTTTAGCTTGATGGACACAAAGCCAGTTTTCTGACCTCTGAATTAAATGAATGAGACAATATCTATTGCTTAGTCCTAGATAGATTTTTAATCTTGTTTCACGTTTCTGTCATAGGCATCATTCTCACCAGAGTTGGCTACTATACGATACCTTCTATGGATGACTTAGCCAAAATTACCAATGAAAAGGGAGAGTGTATTGTAACAGATTTCACCATAGGTCGAAAAGGTGAGTTTATTTGGTGTTAATGCATGACTTCTAGAGATGAGATATAGGGTCTTTCTCTGACATTTACAATTAATAAACTATTTGGGAGACCTTGTTTTTTCGTTGTTATTTTTGCTTTTTAATGAGCCAGATCATTCTTAAACATTGGTTTATCACTAGAATGCATGGAGTGACTCTGTGCTGCCAGAAGGTGTACTCAGGTCCTCGGATCACTGAAAGGAACTTTTGTGGTGTTACTTCAGAACTCTGGATATATTTGGAGCTTTCTGATCGTGAATGGGAAAGGCAAAGTTATCCTTGCCTATGGGGACATTTTGTGGGTCTGTGTATTATCTTGGGACTAGTGTCAAACAGTAATAATTCTGTGTGTGAGGTTTATTTCTCTTCACCACATGTGTGAAAAAATTGGGAAGATCAGGAAACATGAAATGAGGGAGGAAATCTAAAAATCCCACGGTAGGGAAGATCCTGTTAAGAACTTTATATTAAGAGGTTTGAAAAAGAAAATTTGATAAACAGCTGCTGAAAAACGAATATTTTAGATAGCACTACTAAGGCTCCCAAAATTGTCATGGTTTTGGCTTTTTAAAAATTAATTAATATTTATTTTTAATTAAAGCAGAACTGTAGAATAGAGAAAAGAGCACTGGATTTGGAGTTAGAGAGCCTGGCTTTGAATATGACTTGGCAATCTGTAAGAATTTGGGTAAATCACTTAACCTCTCTAGTCCTGACTTTTATCATTTGGAGATTTGACTGGGTTATTTCTAGAGTTCTCTAGTCTGTTAAGAATTAGAATACCCAAATAATGTATTGTGACTGGCTAAGAAAAGGCAACTGAAACTATTTAGGGTGAATGGTGGTGGCAGCATCTTTGGCATAAGGGGAAGCTCTCAGATTCCAACTTTGGACTAGGACAGTGGAGCAGAGTGAGTAGATGAGTGCATTGTGAAGCTGAAAGTGGACTGTAGCACCACGATGGACCATTGCCTTCCTGAGTGCAAGAATCTAGCCAAGGAAGGAAGACTTAAGTAATTAAAATATTTCTATCTTTGCAGAAACAGACCTGTATTGCTTCTGACATGTTATCTTACATTCCACATTTTGGTTGCAGTAGTGAAGATGTGCTATAAATCTAAAAAGGGATTTTCTTGATGAAAATATCCTTTTGTCAAAAAAGAGATCAGTTAAAACAAGCACTTGTGAAAATGGTTCAAGTGTTGCATTTGTGTTGAGGAAATCACAGACTTTCCAATCAAACACAGATCAATTGGTACTCTTCAAATGATTACAAAAGAAAGGATTTATATGGAAATAGAACATGCTCAATTAACTAAAGTATTTAGCAACAATCAAAGAACAAAGTGGCAAAGTCTAAAGAGACAGCATTAGTTTTGGAAGAGCTGCAGGTAGAAACCTATAGGTCCATGAAAAAGAGTGGAATTTATCTTGGAGCAAATGAGACTTTGCCTAACTTTGAAGAAACATTTGTACTCAAATCATCCACACACAAAAGTTAGCACCATGTTCTTTTAATAAAAAAGTACAGAATACTGTGTCAGTGACTTAATTGGCTCATCATGAGAGTTTTTATTTTTCCATCTGCAAGCACAACAGAGCCCTATGTGATACTTGTTGTATCCAGGCTGAAAGTGAAAAGTGGCAGTAAGTGCTAAAGAGTGCGGTTCTTTACATTCTTTTGTCCCACTTTGAGTAAGTTAGTTTTGGGTTACCAAACAAGCAGTAACAAAAAATTTAGATGACTTTCCCAAACATAAGAATCTTTTAAAACTTTTTACTGCTATGGAATTGATGCATTGAATCACACTAGTTGAGAATTCTAGAAAAGAAGTAAGAGGAGGTTCTTTCAGGAGTACCGCAACAAATATATTTGGTTATACAGACAAAGAAAGGTTAAAAAAAAAATGATGGAAAGACCTGAAAAACAAGATTATAGAACATAATATTAGGAAAATGGCCATGTTTTATACCATTATAATAATGAATGGGATGGCTCAACTTCTGGATCTTTTTATTGATGAATTGGAAATGATTCTTTCAAACTTTGGAGTCAGTAAAACCATTTTTGCTAAAGTAGGTTGAAAGGAATTACCAATTTTCAGAGACTGAAGGACCCAAATAACTTACTTAATGACTGATCTCAGAAACTGAACTCATTGATGTCTGTAATTAACACATCATAGCAGAAGAGGAGATGGTGTGTAATCTACAGTGAAGGACCTAATGATGTTAAAAAAGCATCATAATTGGAGTTCATAAAAGACTAATTTCATCGTACCTGTTGGGCTTTTTCCCTATTATTTCCTATTCCCTTGTCTAAAATTTAAAACATAAGTAAAAATGTGCAATATTATTTGAACATTATTTCTTTGGTTTCATCATCTTCTTCCTTTTTTTTTTTTTGGTGAGGCAGTTGGGGTTAAGTGACTTGCCCCGAGTCACACAGCTAGTGAATGTTATGTGTCTGAGGCTGGATTTGAGCTCAGGTCCTCCTGACTCCAGAGCTGGTGCTCTATCCACTGAGCCACCTAGGTGACCCTCATGTTAATTATTTGATTTTATTTTTGCATTTGGTACAAGAATATAATACAGCTGTATTAGCTAATCAAAAATTGTGTCAGTAACTTATTGAAATCTCTTTTTTTGTTGAAAATCCTTTTAGCAGTTTATCATTTGTTTTCATCTACCTAACAGCCATAATTTTAAAAACACTATATACAAAAAATAAATGAGAGCACTCACTTAGTATTGTTGAAAATGTAAATCCTTGGTGAACTATCAAAACTGACATTTGATTATGTGAGTAAAACTTCTATGGTTGTAGTGTAGAGGATGAATTTTAACTGTTGGCTTTGACTTCTAGGTTATGGCTCAATCTATTTTGAAGGAGTGGTGAATTTAACTAACCTCAACTTGGATGAAATTGTACATATTCGTAGAAAAGAAGTCATTGTGTACCTGGATGATGAGCTAAAGCCTCCTGTGGGAGAAGGGCTAAATAGGTAATGAAAGCATTCTTTTCAGCTGTACAGGAAGGTGGTAGGAAGATTTTCTTTATGTGATGTGGTATTTCAGTTTGGCAAATATTTATGAAGCATCCACTGATTGCTTTTAATATTTCCTGTGCCCAGTGTTAGAGGTAAAGACTTCTTCAGGAATTTGTATTCTAGTGAAGGGGAAAGCCATGTATGCAAATAACTATGTAAGGGAAAATGAAAAGCGAAACATAGAGGTTGAGGACAAGCGCTTGCTTAGAGAGGTCAATTTCTTCCTCATATAGGGTGAGGAATAAAGGTTAGAAAAGTCTTCATGGGAGAGGTGGCATCTGAATTAAGCCTTGGAAAACAGGATGGAAGTGGGGGCAGGGGGTGTCTTATTCAAGGCATGACGTGACATGGGCAGAATGAAGTAGTTCACACATTACCCATATCTGAAAATGTGTCACCAGTAGAATACATTCTTGAACAAGTATTCTGTGTAGTTAGTGGTTCTGAGCATTTCTTCTCTTCTCCACCACGTAACATTTATTTTTACTGATATGATGTAAAATCCTATGATTCTTTTTTTTTTTTTTGGCTAGGCAGTGGGATTAAGTGACTTGCCCAAGGTCACCCAGCTAGTAAGTGTTACATGTCTGAGGCCAGATTTGAACTCAGGTCTTCCTGAATCCAGGGCCGTTGCTCCGTCCATTGCACTACCTGGCTGCCCCTAAAATCCTGTGATTCTTTGACACTTCTTTGCTGTTTTGATTTCATCTCCAAAATGTTGCTAAATCATACTGCAATTTCTCTAAAACACTTCTCAAAAATAAATTTCTTCCTAATTCTGTACTGGAAACATCCTTTAATTTTTTATTACACCCTAATCCTGTGGTGATGTTTTTCTAACTTATGAACACTGTTGGCCTTTAGTTAGGTGGAAAAATCATGTGAAAATAATCCTTTTAATATCTGTGATCATTTAATGTCTGATTAAATCTTATAAAATAGCTCCCTACTGATTTTCCTACTTCTTTGTAAGAAGTCATTCCCTCCACCCTGGTTTTAAGGTAGTCTAGCTTTACACTTTTCATTATCTACATATCTTAAAAGGAAATGTTCTCTGGGTCTTTTTCAGATAAATAATGCTGCTAACAATACTGGAGTCTACTTGACTTTTTAATCCTTCCCATCTACTCCTGGAACTCATAGTTTAGCCATTCACTCATTTCTTATGAAGCATTTATTAAAAGCACCACCACAAACACAACATTGTATTGGATGCTATGGAGGTGGGCAGAGTATATGATACCTGCCTTAAGGAGCTTTTGGTGTAGTAGGGAAACACATCTGGGAAGGAGGGAATTTTAAAAGCAATGTGTGACTAATTTATTTTTGGTTTGTGTGTAGGTATTGTTTGACTTCAAGAGCCAAAATATGAAGCACTTAAACTTGACTTTGTGTTTTACAGGCGGGCTGAAGTTACCTTGGATGGAGTTTGGCCAACTGACAAAACCTCTCGTTGCTTAATAAAGAGTCCTGAACGACTAGCTGATATCAATTATGAAGGCAGGTTAGAAGCTGTTTCACGAAAACAAGGTGCCCAGTTCAAGGAGTATCGGCCAGAGACTGGTTCTTGGGTATTTAAGGTACTGCTATCTAGTTATTTCTGGCTTTTAATTAACTGGACCATAATCATAGGTTTTCAGGGCTTGAAGGGGCTTTAGAAGCATCTGATTCAGTTCTCAGTTGTCAATTCTATATTTCAAAGAAAGTCCCTAAGGAAGGAGACTTTTTTTTTTGGAAGCGTGTTCTTTTGTTTCATTTTAGTGTTCTTAGGGGCTAACTAAAAACTGCGTTGAAACTTAAGCCTCTTTCCCCTCCACAATTCTTTGCAGATGTGGAGAACAATTGGGTAGTGTAAAAGATTACCCTGTTGAGGTTGACACTTCTTTGCTGTTTTGATTTCATCTCCAAAATGTTGCTAAATCATACTGCAATTTCTCTAAAACACTTCTCAAAAATAAATTTCTTCCTAATTCTGTACTGGAAACATCCTTTAGTTTTTTATTACACCCTAATCCTGTGGTGATGTTTTTCTAACTTATGAACACTGTTGGCCTTTAGTTAGGTGGAAAAATCATGTGAAAATAATCCTTTTAATATCTGTGATCATGTAATGTCTGATTAAATCTTATAAAATAGCTCCCTACTGATTTTCCTACTTCTTTGTGTTTTACACAAGAAAAACTTGAGGATCTTTTTCTTTCCACTCAGCTATGTTTTTACAAGGCAAAACCATCCCAGCTATGTTTTACAAAACTAGGAGTTCCATTGAATGTGAAGACATGTTGTCTTGGCTAATCTGAGCAAGAGGATTTGTAAAAAATGATGATGGTCTCATCAAAAGTTGTTTTATGAATAGTACATTTAAACCATGGCTCTGTAACTTAAGATCCAAGAGAGATTTGATCACATTGAAGGATTCAAAGGAGACTGAAAACTCTCAGAAAAGGATCAGCTGAAGAAGCTGGAGATGTTTAGTTAAGAGAAGGCCTGAGACAAGTCTTTAGGGGGGAAAATTATTGATGTCTTCAGCTCCTTAAAGGATTATTGTGTAGGTGAAGGAGTAAACTTGCTCAAAGATAGAACCTAAAAGGAATACAACAGGAGGATGAAGCAAAAGTATAAGAAGAGTAATAAATAATTTATTTATATTTACCTAGCTTGATATGAGCTAGGCACTTCATGAATTTTACATTTTACTGAGGCAAATTTTACATTTTACTGGGGAGGCAAACTATGCAGATTAAATAAATGTATATGTTCAAAGTAAATTCCAAGTAACTGGTGGGCTAGGGGAATAGGAAGTACTTACAAGTTGGGTGAATCAGGAAACCCCTAATGCATAGAGTATGGCACTTGAAATTGGCCTTGAATGGAGCTAAGGATTCCAAGAGGCACAGGTAATTAGGGACAACATTCCAGGCAAGAAGGAGGGCCTGTGCCAAAGCATGAAGGCTGCTTGGCTAGACCATAACAAGAATGCAAAGAACTAATGTGAAATTATTTAGGAAAAATAGTTTAAAGCTAGATTTTGAAGGGCTTAAATACTAAAGAATAGAATTTGTATTTTGTCTTGGAGACAATTAAGAGCTGCTAGAGCTTTGGTGTTTTGTTTTGAGGAAAGTGCTTTTTAAAACACTATGTATATGAGTTACAACTAAGACCAATCAGAAGTTATAGGGAAGCAGATGTTGGTTCAATAGGACAACTTCTTGACAATCCAGTGGAGCTGGTATGCTGTGACAAGTTTGGATTTTCTGGATATAGTTTTATAACCCTTGGTTATGTTGAATTCTTCTCTTTTCTAGGTCTCCCACTTCTCAAAGTATGGCCTGCAGGATTCTGATGAGGATGAGGAGGAGCATCAATCTAAAGCAGAAGTAAAGAAGTTGAAAACAGCTCCCATGCCTCCTGTAGGCCAGCCAGTACCACTACAAATGGCTCTCAATGGCAAACCTGCTCTTCCATCCCAGGTAGAAACTGGACAGTGAATTTGAACAGAACCGGTGAAATGGAAGTTGAGCAAAAGCCAGTCGGCTAATGCAAACCTGTTGTGTGACCACTTGGAGACCGAAGAGTCCAGAAGTGTTGGGAATCAAGTTGAGACCAATGGACGGGGGACAGGGAGGGTGGTAGGATGGTTACCTATCCCCTTGAGGGATTTGGAGGATCTTTTGGTAAACTGAAATTTTCCTCTGTGTCCCTTCAGACAGTCAGTTTCCCCTCCTGAATAGAGAATTACTGAATTCTATGTTTGTCCTTATATATAAGACATAACTATTACCTGCCTAGGTTCATGGAGAACAGATTCTATCTTGATCAACATTTCTCAGTATGTACAACATACTCCTTGCTCTTCACTCCTCTACTATTTGAAAAATGTAGTTTGCCTTGGACGAAGGTCTTTAAATAAGTTTTTTCAAGTTGTTTGCCTGTTCCTCAAGCAAACATGTATATTTGTATTTTAAGAAGGTGCATTCTATTTTTATGGAAAAAATACAAAATGTAAGTTTTGACAGTTTACTTTGGGACAGAGGAATTAATCTGGTTTTGGAGGAAGCTGGAGGGGCCGGGGGTTAAAGGGGGACATTCTGTGTTGTTTGAATTACCTGAGAGTTGTTGCTTTTGTTCTGTATCACAATGGTCTTTGGCCGTTTGAGACCAGGATAGCGTATAGGCCCTCTTTCTGTAGAACAAGAGGTTAAAGTTTTTATACTTTAAACTCCTGGTATAATATCTTAGCATAACAAGAATTTAGCTTTTGTTTGGGTGATGTTTGAACAAAATAAAAAAATGTTATTCTTTGGGGGGGTAGTGAAAGTGGGAAGTCTTAATGCAAGTTTTCTCCTTTTAAGTGTCCCTACTGCTCAGCTGATGAAAGCTGGTTCTTTGGACATTTTGCATGCCAAATAATTTGTTTGCTGTTATTATGTGCAGCTTTTATGTTTTTTATTTTTTTTTATTGTGGTTTTTTTTTTGTTTTTCTGTTATTTTGTTTTGGTTTTTGTTTTTTTTTTTGTTTGTTTTTTTTGTTTTTTTTGTTTTTTTTTAGGCAATGGGGTTAAGTGATGTGCCCAGGGTCACACAGCTAGTAAGTGTCAAGTGTTTGGTCTGAGACCGGATTTGAACTCAGGTCCTCCTGACTTCAGGGCCGGTGCTCTATCCACTGCACCACCTAGCTGCCCCCTAGCTTTTATGGTTTTTAAAAATATTTGTGTAGGAAATATTTTCTGCATTTCCTACATGGCTTTATGTGTGTGTATGTAGGTGAAATAGAGGCATGTTGTAATTCATCTTGATGTGCTGTCTTTGCAATATCCTTCCCCACAAAGACTTTTTGGTAATTGCATTGTAGGTAGTGGAGTAATAAGGGTTTGGAGAATAGGATGTCCCAGAACCATTTTGCTTAATTTCGAGTATTTGCTTTCATGTCCATGTGCATTTTGTCATAAGCACCTGTTTCCCCTTCCTCTTGTCCAAAGTAATTTTTGTCTTCTGGAACATAATTCCTTTTTTTTTTTCCTGGAACACATTTCTTAAGGGGAATTGGGGTGGAGGGTGTTAAATCACTACTGTTAATAGAGAATACTCCAACCCCTATGGAAAAGAAGCATTTTCTCTATGTACAAATAGCAGAAACTAGTAAAACTTTGACTGTGCCAACAGGTCTTCTTGGTTGTTACCCAGCTCATTTTTATTTAGTATTTTATTTTCCCCCAATTACATATAAAAAGATTTTAACATTCTTTTTTAAAACTTTGAGTTCCAAATTCTTGCCCTTTCCCCCCGCATTGAGAAGGCAAGCAATTTGATATAGGTTATACATGTGTAGTCACGCAATATTTCCATATTAATCATGCTGTGAAAAAAAACATAGGACCCCACATTCCCCCCCCCCAAAAAAACCTCAAGAAAAATAAAGTAAAAAAAGTATGCTGTAATCTGTATCCAAACACTATCAGTTCTTTTTTCTCTGGGGATAGATGGCATTTTTCATCATAAGTCCTTTAGAGTTGTTTTGGGTCATTATATTGCTGAGAATAGCTGAGTCATTCACAGCTGATCATCTTACAATATTACTGTTACTTTGTACACAGTACATTTCAGCTCATGTAAGTCTTCCAAAGTTTTTCTGAGAGCATCCTGCTCATCATTTCTTATAACACAATAGTATTCCATTACAATCACAAACTACAATTTGTTTAGCCATTCCCCAATTGATGGGCATCCCCTCAGTTTCCAGTTCTTTGCCACCAGAGAAGAGCTGCTATAAATATTTTGGTATCTATAGATCATTTTCCTTTTTTGTCTTTTATCTCTTTTTGGATACAGATCTAGTAGTGGTATTGCTAGGTCAAAGGATATGCATGATTTTGTAGCCCTTTGGGCATAGTTCCAAATTTCTCTGTGGAATGATTGAACCAGTTCACAACTCCACCAATAGTGCATTAATGTCTCATTTTTTTCCCACTTCCCCTCCATTGTCATTTTCCTTTTCTGTCCTATTAGCCAATCTAATAGGTCTAAGGTAGTACCTCAGAATTGTTTTAATTTGCATTTCTCCAGTCATTAGTGATTTAGAGCATTTTTTCATATGGCTATAGATAGCTTTGATTACTTATCTGGAACTGTCCATATCTTTTGATTATTTATTGATTGAGGAATGGTTCTTATTTTTATAAATTTGACTCAGTTCTCTATGTTTGAGAAATGAAGCCTTTATCAGAAAAATTTGCTTCAAAATTTTTTCACACTTATTATTGCTAACTATATTTCTCTCCATCCTATTCCCACCTGCCCTGTTTATTCTGTTCTTTCTGTCCTTTCACCTGTCCCTCCTCAAAAGTGTTTTACTTTTGACTACCTCCTCCCCCAATCTGCCTTCCCTTCTATCACCCCACCCCCTTCTCTTATCCCTTCTCCTACATTCCTGTAGGGTAAGATAGATTTCTATGCCCAGTTGAGTATGTGTGTTATTCCCTCTTTGAGTCAATTCTGATGAGAGTAAGGTTCATTTACTCCCCCCCCTTCCATCTTCACTTCCACTATAAAAGCTTTTTCTTGCTTCTTTTATGTCAGACAATTTACCCTATTCTGCCTCTCCCTTTCCCTTTCTCCCAGGTCATTCCTCTCTCACCCATTAATTATATTTTTTAAGATATCATCCCTTCATATTTAACTCACACCTGTGCCCTCTGTCTATATATACTCCTAAATGCCCTAAAAATGAGAAGGTTCTTATGAGTTACAAGTATCATCTTCCCATGTAGGAATATAAACAGTTGAACCTTATTCAGTCCTTCATGATTTCACTTACCTGTTTACCTTTTTATGCTTCTCTTGAGTCCTGTATTTGAAAGTCAGATTTTCTGTTCAGCTCTGTTTTTTTCATCAAGAATGCTTGAAAGTCGGGGGCAGCTAGGTATTGTAGTGGATAGAGCACTGGCCCTGAAGTCAGGAGGACATGAGTTCAAATCCAGTCTCAGACCAGACACTTGACACATACTAACTGTGTGACCCTGGCAAGTCACTTAACCCTAATTGCCTCACCCAAAAAAAAAAAAAAAAAGAATGCTTGAAAGTCTTCTATTTCATTGAATATCCATTTTTTTTCCCCTGGAGGGTTATACTCATTTTTGCTAGGTGGGTGATTCTTGGCTAGCTCCTTTGCTGTTGACAATATCATTTTCCAAGCCCTCTGATCCTTTAGTGTAGAAGCTGCTAAATCCTGTGTTATCCTCACTATGGCTAAATGATACTTGAATTGCTTCTTTCTGGTTGCTTGTAATATTTTCTCCTTGACCTGGGAGCTCTGGAATTTGGTTATAATATTCCTGGGAATGTTTATTTTGGGATCTCTTTCAGGATATGATTGGTAGATTCTTTCAGTTTCAATTTTATATCTTGTGGTTCTTTATCAAAGCTTTCAGGGAATCCAATAATTTTTAAATGATCTCTCCTGAATCTGTTTCCCAGGTCAGTGTTTTTCCAATGAGATATTTCACATTGTCTTCTATTTTTTCATTCTTTTGGCTTTGTTTTATTGTTTCTTGATTTTTCATGAAGTCGTCAGCTTCCATTTACTCAATTCTAATTTTTAAGGAATTATTTTCTTCAGTGAGCTTTTGTACCTCCTTTTCCATTTGGCCAATTCTACTTTTTAAGGAGTTCTTTTCTTCAGTGAATTTTTGTGCCTCTTTTTCCACCTGGCCAATTCTGCTTTTCAAGTCATTCTTCTCCTTGTTGACTTTTTGTGCCTCTTTTACCCTTTGTCCTAGTCTGTTTGAGTATGTGTTTTGACCTTCCTTGTCACCATAGTAACTTTCTATGATCAAAATGTTTTTCTGTTGTTTGCTTATTTTCCAGCTTATTTCTTGATTTTTAACTCTTTGATAAGTGGATCATTGCTTCCAGGCTGGAGGGCACCCTGTCCCAAGGTTTAGGTGTTTTTGTGCAGCTATTTTCAGAGATTCTTCTAGGGACCTGTAAGTTTTTAGTTCTTCCAGAGTAGTATGATCTAAGGAGAGATGTGTTTACTACTCTCCTGGCATCTGCTTCAGTCTTTGAGTGACCACAAGCACTCTTTTCTGCCCTGGAACTGTGAGGAGGGTCCCCACTCCACTGTGGCTGCAACCTCTGGTATGCTAGTGCTCCTCCTAGCCCTGGGACTGTCAACCCAGGACTGCAGTCTGGATCCAAGTATGGGTAACACAACAAAGTCCTGCCCCCAGTGCTAGCAAAGAGACCCCTATAATCTTCTGATCAGTTGTTCAACACACTTACCATTTGAGGGCTGAGAGCTCTGGAAGCAGCTGTTGCTAGTGATGATTTCAGTGTCTCCCAAGGCCTGCTCATGGTTTGCTGGGTCACAGACTGAGCTGGCATAGGCTGTGCTGAACTGTGCTCCACTCTCATCCAGATGCGACAGATCTTTCCTACGGACCCTCTAAGTTGTCTTTGGCTGGGTTCTACCACTCCAGGAATTGTTTTATGGCATTATTTAATGGTGTTTAGAGAGATTTTGGGACGAGCCCAAGCAAGTCACTGACTTTTCTCTGCCATCTTGGCTCCACCCTCTTCCACCCAGCTCTTTTAATAGTGAAATCATAAAACAAACAGAGGTTAACTGAGTTTTCCTTGATCAGCATTGGTATGTGTTAGAGCTATACAAACAGCAGGAAGATGAGCTTCTGAGAAGGGAAAAGGAGTAGGTAAATGATTATTTCTGAACTTCCCAGGTTTCTGCACCTGTGCATTCTGACTGTTGCTTTTTTTGTCTTCAAACCTGACTGATCCATAGTGCAGGATGTGGCTTTGTGTTCAGGTGTAGTACAGAGATGAAGACAAAAGACAAAGTACTTGTTACTGCAGATTGTTTGTAATTGCTAATCAGGAAGGACCCCAAATTTGCTTTATCAGGATGAACAATTTCCTCCCCCTTCCCCAGCTACCTTAGTGACCTGGGGGCTGTGAGCGTAGATTACTCTCCAGTCCAAGATTTATAAGTAGTCCTTCACTTACATTCTTAAGTCACTTAGGCATAGGTGGAGCTTATCTCTCATGGATTAGTGTTCCGTACACCTTTCCCTGCATTTTCTCCCTCCTCTCTAGTACCTCTGTAGGTTCCATATTTCCATTTGGTTTGGACAAGCTTTCTCTGGACCTGTAAAGAACAAGAGAATCTGAGCAGTTAGAAGACAGCCTTCCTCTGCCACTAGTTAGAGAGAATTCCTCTAAACCTAGTAAGTACCGTAGTAGTCCTACAATGGAACTAAGGCATTTGTAGAAAGGTTTTTCTTATGATTTTAGAATTTTTATCAGACCTATTGACTCTCACAGACACAGAGTGATGTGGCTTTTGATCTCAACCTTGCATTAGACTCGTGATTTGAACTTATGTTGTCAGTTTTATTCAAAGTAGGCTAGTTGAATTGCTCAGAAACTAACATTTTTCATACATAACTGGTTTTGTTTTTGTTTTTGGTTTTTTTGGGTTTGTTTTGGTTTGTTTAAATTGAAAAATACAAGGCTGGTGGAATGAATTGGCTGGGATTTTTTTTTTCTTTTTGCTCTTTTTTTTAAACTTGAAATAGCAACTGCCCAGCTGCCTTTATCTTTTGGAAAACCTTTTCTAAAAGTAAAATCACAAAGCTATAATAGTTATTCTCCCCCCATTGCTTCCTTTCTTGCTTTGGGTATATTAGCAGTTTTATAAAGTTCTTGATGTAATTTAAGGTCTGTATTTCATGTCTTGCCAACTTTGCATGTATACAGAGAAAATATAAGATCACAGGTTTTATAGTAAGAGGACACATTAGGGATCATCTAGTGCCGGGGTTCTTAATCTGAGAGATTGGCTAAATTTCTCAGGGTCTGTGAACTTTAATGAGAAAAAAACCTACATCTTCATTTACACTTATTACTGAAATTTGTCAGTTTTTTTTTCAGTTACGAATGTTAGTCAGCAAAACATGCCAAGAAGCAGTCCATAGACACATGCAAAAGATTAAGAACCCCTGATCTAGTCTAACCCGCTCATTTTACAGATTAAAAAATTAAAGCACAAAATTAAAGCTTTATTCCAGTATCATAAAAGCTGGTGAACAACAGAGCTAAGATTTGATCCCATATCCTAACTCTGCTTTTTCCATTAACAGTAGAGTACTTGAAGTTTTATACTAGAATTACATATATTTGGAAGTCTTTTTAGTACTAATAATCTAGGAAAATCATGGGCCCAGCTTTAAAATAAAATGAAAATAAAACATTTTCTGATGTATACTGATGCGTTAAGAGTCCATTTTTTCTCTTTTTCCCAGCATCATTGTCACTAAATGATCATCTCTTGGGCCAAAAATATGATTTCTTAGAATCTGTTACTTAATTTAAACCATCCTTTACTTTTGGGTTACTCATTCAATTTTTGTCTATTTTTTTTTTTAAATAAAGCAGGTACAGCTGTATATATTTGACATAAGCAGTGATTGGCTGAGCAGTTGTATCATTTGAAACTTCTCTTTTGAGAATATTTCATTCCTTAAAAAAGAAATTCTCAAATGGGGAGGGATGGGTATAAGAACTGGTCTTTCAGTTGTCCTTCACTGTTCTTCTTTGCGTGGCTTCTCCAATTAAAGATAGGACTAAATTCTCCCAGTTTATATTTTTGGTTAATTACTGGCTGTTTGGACAGTTCAGAGATATAAGGCTTTTTCTAAGTTTAGGGCAAATGTTTAGTGTGAGAAAAATTGACCTCATAGAAACTCCAGTATTAAACTATATTTATTTTGTATATTGTACCTCCTCACCTATGTATTATTTGTTAAGTAAGGAAGTTAAAATAGATAATCTTGTAACTCAATTTATGATCCTATAGCTGTGAGGAATAGGATTATTAAATTCCAAAGTTTTCTAACAAGTTTCAGAGCAGTCAAATAATTAGACATCACCCTATTTTTGATTTATTGCCTCCACACCTTGGAGAGTTATGGTGCAATATTTAGACTCTAGGGTTACAGGTGTAGAGACAGACAGTCATCTAGTCCAACCCCCTTTCTTTGTGGAGAGATCCAAGATGACACATGGAATTTGTCTGTGATAGCAGGTGGTAGACAACAGTACCAAGACTTGATCTGGCCAGAAAATACATTGTATTTGGTACTACATCAGTCTGCTTTCTGTTCCCTTTCTCTGGAATTTCTGTTCCAGTCTGCATAAATTACTTCACTGTTGCATATATCTCTTTTTCTGTACTTGAAATATGAGATCACACATCCCCTTACTGGAATATTAAAGAAACTTCAGGGTGATAATATTTAATATGCCCATTTAGGCCTATCTTAAAAGTTACAGGAGGCCAAGAGATCAAGGTCACATTTTATCTATTGAAATCATGAAAATTTATTTTGCTATTCATTTATGTGTAATGTCACTCATTTGGGGCTTAACATGAATGATGGCTACTTAGAATCAAAAACTCTGTAAAGATAAAATTCAGAAAATTTGCTACAGTGAAATGAGAAATAATTGGTAGTTTATTGTTGTGGAAAATGTCTGTTAATGGGTTTATTGGCTTATTAGCATAATATAAAGTCAGGTCCCAGTTTATGGGATGTACTTGAGGAATGTGTGCCAAGTCAGTGATAAATGTACCTTTTATTTTGTGAATGTTTTATCGTTCTGCACTGTAAATTGTTATTCATGTTTATCACTAAAACTTCTTAATAAAAATACAAAAAATTTCCTATCGTCTTGATGTTTTTAAACACAACAGGACCGTTCCCAGGGTTAGTAGTATTTCTTCTTTCTCCTTTCAAGAAGTAGCAGACCCTTAACTCATGTCTCACTATGTTCAACATGGCCATGAAGCTTCGTGTTTTTGGTTGACTGACAAGATTTTAGATATCTAACCATTTTGCACTAAGAACTTCCTTCTCTGCCTAACACACAATATATGGTAAATGTAACACAATCTGGGTTGGCAAGTTTCTGCTTCCTCTTCTAACTCAGCTGTATTAACTGTAACTTATGGACTGTGAGAATGTAAGAGGCAACCATAGGAAGAGTATAGCAAAAATTGCTCGTTTAGGAAGGACATATCCCCAGATTCCCAAGATGCTCTAAATGACTAGTCTGTTGCAATTTTGGGGCAGTGGAGTTGTTGCCATAGGCATAAGTTTATGCTCTAGGTCCCTTGTTCTTCTTGGGCTTAGATTTCATTGAATACTTGGGAGGGTACTATCATTGTGGTTGGGGGCCCTTGTTGAACCCTGTCCTGTGGTGGACTGAATAAACAGGCTTTGAAGTCTTGAAACTTTGAACTTACACAGCATTTAATATCATTTCTCCATCTTTCTGATGTCTACAGAGCCAAAGCCCAGAGGTGGAACAGCTAGGGAGGGTTGTGGAGCTGGACAGCGATATGATAGATATCACCCAGGAGCCAGTTTTGGATTCCATAGTAGAAGAAATCATCCCTGAAGAGCAAGAGCCTGTATCTGCTTCAACACACATTGCATCTTCACTGGGTATTAACCCACATGTTTTACAGGTGAATTTCTTACCCACTTTAAAAGTGGGGTAGAAAGTCAGTGTGACTTTCCCTTTAGCTAAACTTAGGCCACTTCCTTATTTTGATATAGTAGAATGCCAACAGTATTTACAGTTTTGAGGGTGAGGGAGAATATGGTCCGTGTCAAAAGTTTTAACTTTTTTCCACTTCTGTTGAGAGGACTTGATAAGGAATCAAAGGGTTGCTCTCCTTCTATGAACGTGTTAATGTAGACACAGGTGGAAGGGACTTTAAAGATCATCTAGTCCAAGCCCTCATTTTACAGATGAGGAAACTAAGGTCTCAGAGATAGAAAGGAATTGGTTCAAGGTCCTGTAGCAGATTATTGGCAAACCCAGCACTGTCTTCATCACTCCAATTCACTGATCAGTCCAAGGGTCTCAATCCTTGCACATTACCTCACTTCCAATGGAGACCAAGGATATCATTATATGGAATTGATTTCTTGTTGATTGTATCAACTAAACCATGAGAAATTTATGGTATTTGTATATGCATGCATGTAATATACATTCATGTGTGCATACATACATACATACGTGTGTGTATGTGTGTAAAATATTTATCTTATTAGATTCAGAGAGAAACCTAGGGTAGAGTTATTCATGCTGCAGCTAATACGTTATTGCCCTAATGACCTGGGAGACGCTAAGGGAACAAACTCATTCTGTGGTATTGCTCTTTTAGATCATGAAAGCATCTTTGCTTGCTGAGGAAGAAGATGCAGATTGGGTCCTCGATCAGCGCTTTGGCAAGCTTCCTTCCAAAGTAGACCCCTCGCAAGAAATCTGTTCTCCCAGACTTCCCATTTCATCAGCACACCCACCAAAATCCCGAACATTAGGTATGGTAAGAGGAAATAATGAAATGTCCCTGGGTAATAATTTCATAAAAACCTAAGAACACAATGATTTGCTTTCAGGTAGAGCTTTGACAGTGCTTCCCTTAAAGATGGAGCAAATGAGCCTCTTTTTTTTTCTGTAATTTCTTATGAATGATCTTTTATCCCCTCAGAACTGTTAAACACTTCATTCTTTCTCCCAGTTCCAATAACATAGAGTGAGAAGTGATTTCTTCCTCCTCTGATTTCCTAATATCTCACATGTTGAAATCTAATTTATATTCTTTTTGTTTGTATGCAGCTATTACTTCCCCTACTTGACTTTAAGGACCTTGTAGGCAGGAATCATGTTTTACTTCATCCTTGTGTCTTTAGTACTGTGCACTTAATGTGTTAGGTACAGACAGATGTTTTTTGAAATCATGTGATTTAAGATACTCCAGAATTAGAAAATGACCCTTTCTGAATGTCGTTACTTAATTAACTTCATTGGAAAACATTTGATTTAAAACTACATTATGCTATACCAACAGAGTATCCTTGTGAGAGAAACACATACAAAGTACCTGGACTTTATGTGTAAATGACAAAAATATTTATGTTATTTGCCTCCTTTTGGGTCTGATAATAGTTTGAATTAGGTGTGTCCATGTAAAACTGCTTCCACCAATGCTATTCTTCAATAACATTAATATTATAACCAGCTTCCTGTGCTTTGTGACAAAATCCTGTGGTAATCTTGGTTGGCTAAATGCCTGAGATGCGAAGGAGATAATTGGTATTCATTCATTCTAAAACTTGAACTCCAGTCATATTAACACCCCTGAATGTCAGTCTGCTTCTGAATACTGCTTTTATGGAAACTAGCTATCTCCTTAATGTCATTCATCCTAATACTGTGTTTTGGTGGAACCAGTTAATGGTAAGAAGTAAAACATACCCATAGAGAATGTCCTTAGTTATCTCTTACTAAACCTATACTTCAACTGAGAGTAGTTATATATTTGGTTTCTATGTATCAATTCTTTACTGTAAAGTAATTTGGTGTTTTTTATCCCACTCCAGCACCCAACAAATAATTTGTATTAAAGATTAATTTAGTGAGTCTTGATGTAATGTCATTGTGGGCTACATTTTTTAAAGGAGTAATAGACTAACTGGGCTTTTTCTTAATGTTTCTTCCCTTCCCTCAGTAGGTGGTTTACTTCAGTCAAAGTTTACAAGTGGAGCTTTTCTCTCGCCAAGTGCCTCTGCGCCAGAATGTCGAAATCCCAGAACTTCATCTTTAACAAGTGCCCCTTCTACATCTCCTTGGTCAGTCCCTCCACCACTGGCCCCTGTGTTTGCAGTGCCCACCCCAGCACCTGAGGTCCAGTTAAAAACTGTGGGTGCTCGAAGACAAGCAGGACTTGTTCCCCTGGAAAAATCTGTCACCTGTGGCAAGGGAAAGCTTTTGATGGATATGGCACTCTTCATGGGACGTTCATTCCGGGTTGGCTGGGGCCCCAACTGGACCTTTGTCAATAGTGGTGATCAACTGAGTGGATGCCAGGAACCTGGAGATCGTCACAACGCTGAATCTATGGAATATGGATTCCTGCCTAACCCAATAACTGTCAAATCGTGAGCAACGTTTCTCAACTCATTCAACATTTTTTTTGGGGGGGGGAGATAGAAGACGCGGTTGAAAAGGCTAAGGACAAGATCAGGAGATCACATGGTTCTGGTCTTATTTTGTTTACTAACTAGTTTGACCTGGTTGCATTCTTGAGGACTTTTAGACAGTAGATGATGCTAGAATAATTCATGACTAGATGAGATTTTTCTTATCCTTGAATCATTACAATTGTATAGGACTTAACTTGAGCACCACTTAAATATCTGCTGCCCCTTATTTAATAGTTACATGAGGCAGTGTGATACAGTAAAAAGAGAGATGGAATTTGGGGAAGTCATTTTCACCTCTGTAGGCCTTGGTTTCCTTTTCTATAAATGAAGTGGTTGAATTAAGATCAGAAGTGGGGAACCTGGGGCCTTGAGGCCACACGTGGCCCTCTAGGTCCTTCCGTGTGGCCTTTTGACTGAGTCCCAAGTTTTACAGAACAAATCCTTTCATTTAGTGGATTTGCTCTGTGAAGTTTGGCTAGTGGGCCATATGTGGCCTCGAGACTACAGGTTTCCCACCCCTGGACTAGATAACCCCTGAAGTCTCTTCCAGCTTTCAGGCTTCTAAACTGGACTATGATTATGTTGAGTTCCTTTTGATGTATATTAATAAGCTGTTGACCTTTTTAATGTAAAATACATAGTGTCTGGAACAAGGGAAATGATACACTCTGAACTAGTTAAAACTTCCCAAGTTTATGTTCAATTCTGATTGCCACCCTTTATGACAGAGAACAAGCCAGAGAGCATACAAGGGAGACCAATCAGTCAAGGTTGTGGGGGGTTTTAAGTTTTTAAATTTTTTTTCAATTAACAAAAATCTTTTACCTCTCTGTCCCCATGGCGGGGGAAGGAGCATAACTCTTGACTACAAATATGTATAATGAAGCAAAACAGGTTTCTGTTAGCAAGGGTTTTGGAAACCATGTCATAGAAGAATTGATTAAAAGAACTGGGAAGAGGGGGAAGTTTTAGCCTTGACAAAGAAAAGACCTGGACTGGGGGTGGCAACGAAAAGATCACAGTCTTCAAATGCTATCATTAGGCAAAAGGAATAGACTTGCCTTGTATGGGCCCAGAGGGAAGAGTTCTAGGATGCACGAGGTAGAGTTACAGGGGACGGACGTATTTTGCTTCAACACAAGGAAGAACTTCACTGTAATTAGAGGTATTATAACATGAACAGACTGGTTTGGTATAGTTTGTTATCATTGTTGTTCAGGTGAATGCTGGATCACTGCTTGTCAGTATGCTACAGAGGAGCATCATAGTTGAGGATGAGGGAAGAGGTTAGGCAGATGACATTTGAGCTTGGTATGGTTCTTAAGATTCTGATTCTACCCAGTTGTTCAGCTTTCTAAGCTTAGACACTTGGCTAGTAAAACCTACTTGATGTTCCATAATATCTTAATAGAACCTTTCCATCTTTGGAATGAGACAGTCAGTCTGAAATCTAATTGAACCAATGTTTGTGACTACTATAAACTGTAATTTACTTCTGAGAACAGCCAAGGCATAAGCATGATTTAGTTCTAAGAAAATGCGTGTAATGATTTTTTTTTCCGTTGTATTATAATTGAGCTCTATACCATTTGACCTTAGTGCTCCAAATTCCTTTAAACTATAGATTGTGTGGTATAATATCCCTTAATCTTAAAATGCAGCAGCGCCTTCATTGCATGTAGATACTTGTTCCATATTCCCACACTGACCTGATTTCTTACTTTTTAGACTAGCAGAGTCCCCATTCAAAGTCCACGTGGAAAAACTGAGCTTGAGACAAAAGAGGATGGATAGAGATTTACAGTTATACCAGACTCCCTTGGACATCAAGCTTAAGCACAGCACTGTCCATGTAGATGAACTGTGTCCTCTCGTGGTTCCCAATCCTGGAGTAGCCGTCATTCACGACTATGCAGATTGGGTGAAAGAGATATCAGGAGACTTAGCAGAATCAGAAAGTGAGTATTCATTCTGGCTGCCCTAACCCAGTTGGTGTCAGAACATAGGAAATAGAATGTGAATACCTAAAAGAAAAAGTTTTCTTACTCTAATTTTTGGTGAAATTAATAGACTCTGATACAGGTATAGGAAAGACCGTAAGAGCTTTGGTCTAAAGTAAGACCCAGAGAGCAGGACTTATCCAAGATCACATATCTAGTAATTGGTTCGTGAGTTTTAGACCTGTTATTTTATAGGACACTGTAAAGGAAACTGAAACCTAGCAGTTTGTGTCCTTCCTAAAGTCATATAGGTAATCATTTAGCTAGCATTTCTTAAAACTAGAAGGACACCAAAAAACTTACAACTTTACTTTGAATCAAAAATTATCATCCCACTGTCTTTTTTGTTTTCTTTGTCTTATGATAAAAACAAATGTACTGCTTCAATTGACACAACTTGTTCTTTCAGGGTATTATTAAATTCAGGTCCTTCCAGTATCTAGCACCTGCTGCATCCCAGGCACTTTGGTGGGCTCTGGGAATACAATAGAATGCAAAGAATGAAACAGTCTTAGAGGGGCTTTTATTTTTTTTGTTGGAAAAAACATGTACATAGATACATATGCAGCATATACAAGGTAGGCTTGATGGGGAAAATGTCTCTTGAGCCTCATATTAAAGGAAGACAAGGATTTTTTCTGGTGGGGATGCAGAAGTGCATTCTAGTCCACACAAAGGCACATAGATGAGAAATGGAGTGTGTGTGAGGAACAGAAAATTGTTTATTTGGCTAGACCATGAAGTACAGGGGTGAGGAATAATGTAAAATAAGGCTAGAAAGATAGTTTGGGTCTTGATTGTGAAGGGCTTTAGAAGTCAAACAGGAATTTTATATTTTATTCTGTAAAAATAGGAGCCATCTTGTATTTGTTAAGGAGGGGAGGAAGGAAAAGTATTTAAACCATTGAAATAGTCCTGGAGAGAGGTAATAAGGGCATGAACTAGGGTGGTTCTATATGAATAGAGAGAAAGGGGTTATATGCAAGAGATCTTATGGAAGTAGAGATGGGGGGAGCTGATATGGTCAGTAAATGAGAATGTACAGAGAGAATAAGGCCAGGAGAGAACTTTGGAAAACACCCACATTTGTTATCATATGGATGATTATCTAATATAGAAGCCTATGAAAAAGCAGTCAAATGGGTAGTAGGTGTTTTCATGGGAATTTGAACCTAGTTACTCTAATAATGCACAATCTGGTGTTCTAACAAAAGCGTAGATCTTATGACCTTAAAATCAAGTGCACTTACACCTAGGTTTATAAGATGTTATGAAAAAGCAAGACTACATTTATAGAAATGTTCTTCCCCTCCCAAAAATAGTAGCTTTCCAGTGAAGGACCCATTCATAGGATATGTAAATTAGGAAGGACCTGAGAGGTCATCTAGTATAATCTCCTGCCCCACACATTGTTGTCCTTCATACATTACCACTGACAAGTGGTCATCTGACTTAAAAATGCTTTTAGTGATGTGGGGTACACTAATTCCTTCCTTTGTTTTTTTTTGATAGCATATCTATTCTTAAAGGCTGAGCTCAAGTGCGGCTTTCTCTGACGCTGGTAGATCTCTTCTCTTCCTGGACTACAATAATACCCATTGTCTTTATATTATACCTTTTGGCACTTGATTATATTTTCTCTTGTATTGCCTTAATTATTTTTAGCACTGTTCTAGAAATATAGTAGACATTTCTTCACAATTACATACAAGTGCTGTGGGTAATGATTTGTATAGTCCTGTGCAAAACATCTTCACATATGTTATTTTTGATTGACTTAGAAGAGTTTTTGTGGTTCCCATCCTCAGAGAGTTTCTCTTCTAAATTCAGAAACTAAATTTAAGCATATATTGTGTGTGGGCCCTCTTGTTCAGCAATGGGGAAAACCTGAGGATGAACAGTCTCTTTACCTTCATTGAGCTTAGAGTCCCTAATGAAGAGATTTGACATAAGTGGGGAAAAAAAAAACAATTATTAAAAGTAAAATCTGCATTGACTTTATAAAATAAGGAGCTTGGACTAGAAATTATCTTCCAGCTAGCCAGAGGCAGGAAAGATTTTAAAATTAAGCAGGAACATATAAATGTAGATACCACCAATATGCACATTATCTTAGCAGATTCCCTGAGTTGGGAGAATTTGTAGGGATCCCCACAACTCTAATGAAATGTACTGTGAAGATGTTAGAGCATGGAAAAAAGTATGAAGTGTTGGGATATATGGTGATTATAGCCTAGGATTCAAAACAAAGTGATCTGAAGTTAAGAATAGTTTCTTCAGTGAGGAAGCAGGAGCTTATGTGTTTTGGTGGAATTTGCAACCACAGTGGTGGTTTCTGCCGTGGTTTATTTTAGGCAAGCCAGCCCTGTTTGCCTCGTTCTTACCAGGCCTAGGACACATTTCTACACTTAAGCTTTTTTTTGCTGCCTTTCCATTAGCTGTAGTAAAGCACTGGAGCCTGACATGGACACTCTGTGAAGCCATCTGGGGTCACCTGAAGGAACTAGAAGATCAGCTGGATGAGCCCAGTGAGTACATGCAGAGCCTGGAGCGCCGAAGGGCTTTCTCCCGTTGGCTGTCACAGACAGCAGCTGATCATATTGAGGAGGAAGTAGCCCTGTCCCGACAAGACAATCCTGTGGAGGCAGTCTTCAGCTACCTCACAGGCAAGAGGATCAGTGAGGCCTGCCGCCTGGCCCAGCAAATAGGTAAGAGACCCAGAGTCTAGCTCAGCATTTAAAGTTTCTGTCATTCATCTTGCCACATAATTACATCGTATTCTGTATGTTCTCTAATTGTTTCTTGTGATCTCCCTCTGTGTTCTCTGATCATTTGTCTGATCTTCTTAGTGAATCTTGAAGCTTCTGGAAGGTAGTATTCATCACCCCATAGTTAACAAAAGTGCCTCGGATATTTATTGAATGTAATAGTTACGCAGCTGTCTCAGAAAGAACTTCCTTAAAAGGGACATACTCTGTCTTATAGCAGTTATATGATAGTAAAAAGAGAGCTGGCGTCTGAGGCATCACCTGCATAAAATCTGGGCTCAACAAATGTTAGCTCCATGATCCTCTTAGAATGGAATAGTAAAGTGAAAATAGAAAGAATCTACTTATCACCTCTGAAAAGGCATTACAAACTGAAAACATATAAGAATGTCATAGCCCAAATCCCAAATATCCAAATCAAAGAAATAAAGTACTGCAAGTAGCTTCAGGTACCAGGAATCCACAGTCAGGATGATGTAAGACCATTCTGCCAAATATGATAGAGAAAATCTTGGCATTTATTACAAAAAGCAAACTTAGCTTGCCATACTGAGTATAATCTTATTAGAAAAGAGAACTTACCCTTTTTGTCTCCTTCCATCCCCTCTTCTCCCCCTTCCCCTCCCCCCCTTCCCTCCATCCTTTCTCCTTCTTCCCTTCCCCAGCCTAGACGATGCCGTGGTGGTGATGTCTGAGGCAGCCATGGAGCCCACCGAGGCAGACATCACAGGGCTGTGCCAGGACATGTTCTCTAAAATGGCCATGTACCTAACAGGCGATATGACAGCCACCAGTTAAGACTATAAACTTCTGGAAAATATGAACAAACTGACTAGCTTGAAGTATCTAGAAATGAAAGATACTGCAGTAAACATAAGTAGAAACCTAAAGAACTTAAACCAGAAATGTGCAGCACTTCAGCCTTATCTGGATCAGATCACTTTAATGGAGGAGCAAGTAGCAGCTCTTGAGCAGGCAGCCTGCAAGCTGGATGCATATTCAAAGAAACTAGAAGCAAAGGAAGTGGTGCTGCTCATCCAAGGAGGACCCCAGCCCTCACCTCTAGTTGGATGTGTAACTTTGGCCTAAACTTGTAGCCCCTGGAACCTCATCTTACCGTGTGCTTCATTGTGTGCCCTGGACCAAGGCTCAGAAATCAGGATCAACCCCATCTAGAGCAGACACAGGAGAGGCTCTTGTCTCTCGGTCTTCTCCCTTAGGGCTCCCCCCCCATAACCTGTCCTTCAACTTACATAATAAATCCCAACTTACAAAACAAAAAAAAGGAAAGAAAAGAGAACTTCCCAACCTTCCTGGTGAAAAGACCAGAACTGAGTAGAAATTTTGGAACACAAATACAGAAGTTGAAATAAATACAATTTTAATAATTGCAGGAGGCTAAACTGTGATGAAGAGCTTGCATTCTGGTAGGCAGACAAAAAGACAGCTGTCCCTCTAGGATGCTTCTGCTTTCAAGGGACACAGGAAATTAAGTAACATACAAACATAGGGAGTAGGTTTTGTTTTCTTCTATTTTTTTGGCTTTAAGAAAGGAAAGGAGTACAGTAGGGAAGAAATAAGGAGTAACATTGAAAGACCAGACTGTTTTGAATAGGTGGGGTGCTGGGAGGAGTTGGAAGAAGAAATAGAAGAAATTGAAGATATGGAAGAAAGAATCAGAAAGAGAATTAACAGCCCGCACAAGAGTTAAACCTTGCTTAAGCAATAGACTCTTTGAAAATTAGAAATATAGAAATTAATGATTTCCATAAGATAATAAGCTATACTAAAATAAAGTCAAAAGGCAGGGGGGAAAATAAAAGATATCTCATATCAAAAAGCAACTGACCTATAAAACAGATCAAGGAAAGATAATTTAAGAGTTGCCAGACTGCCTGATAATCATGGCCAAAAAAAAAAGATCCTAGATACCATATTTCAAGAAATCATAAAAGAAAACTGTTTAGATTTCTTAGAACCAGATAACAAAGTGAAAATAGAATGCATCAGTTACCTCCAGAAAGAAAACCCCTTATTCAAAACTCTCAGGAACATTCTAGCTAAAATTCAGAGCCTCCAGGTCAAAAACAAACAAATAGACAAACACACAAGCATCCTGAAATAAAGAATTCAAGTCCCAAGGAGCCAATCAGGATCACACAAAATATAGCAGCTAACACTATGAACTGTTTACATTCTAATATGAGGAGATGATAGATGTGTCTTCTCAAGACGTTGTCATTGTCTAGTGGATCATAGAGGCTTAGGAGTGGTTTTGTTGATCTTAAAGAGGGAAAGAAAGGAAGGGGGAAAGGAATACACTGGAAGGGGGGTTATCATATAATATCATATGATACCATATAAAACCATAGACACAGAGGAAGGGGTGGGAGAGGAGTGGATGCCCTTTTAACATCTCAGCTTGGTCACAGAAGGGAAGAATACCCACAAACACACAATTAGTTGCAGAAGTGTATTTCATTCATCAGGGAAACAAAAGAAAGAGAACTGAACCAAGGCATAAAGAGATCTCAGACCCATACAGAGCATCCTGTCCTTGTACAAGGAAGTAGGAACAGGTGCCATCTGGTAGCTCTGTTGCTCCCTACCATTGACTGGCTCATATATCCAGGATGGACTGAGGAGTCAGTACATGCTTAGAGACAGCAGTTCAGGATAAGGATCATTCATGGACCTTACATTGTATGCTAAATGAGAATCAAGTATAGAAGCAAATGACAGCTCCACGGCTCTGACCCCAAGAAAGGAGCAGAGTTTCAAATCCAACCCCAGACTGGTAAGGAGGAATAAGAGGCAGGGCTTATTAAGGGATGGATTAGTCCTAAACAAAGCAAATTCTAACTATACTTCCATCTAAGTGTGATGGAATACTGTTGTGCTGTAAGAAATGATGAAGGGGATGATTTCAGAGAAACTTGGGAGGACTTGTATGCACTGATGCAAAATGAAGTAAGCGGAACCAGGAGAACACTTTATATAATAACAACAATATCATAAAGACAAATAGATTGGAAGGACTTAGGAACTCAGATCAATACAATGACAAATGATTTCAAAGGATTCAAGGATTTCAAAGGACTCATGCTATCCACCTCCTGATGGAGAGGTGATGGACTCAGTTTTGTTTGACTATCCATACAAGGGTTTTGTTTTTCTTTTTAAAAGGAATAGGGAAAGGTGAAAGGGAAAGAATGTAGATTTTCATTAATTAAAAAAATTTTAAAAAGTTAATTAAGATCTCTGGCAATTGCTAAATAAGAATATAAAGAAATATGCATATTTCCCATCTGTCCTGTCATCTTTACAAAAATTGAACATGTGTTAAGGTGTTTTTTAAAAACCTCATAAAGAGGGGCCGGTAGGTGGCACAGTGGATAGAGCACCAGCCCTGAAGTCAGGAGGACCTGAGTTCAAATCTGGCCTCAGACCAAACACTTGACACTTATTAGCTGTGTGACCCTGGGCAAGTCACTTAACCCCAATTGCCTAAAAAAAGAAAAAAAAAAACCTTCATAAATACAGAAAAGCAGAATTATTAAACATAATCCTTTATTGACCACAGTAATAAAAATTAAAATAAAATAAAGGGATTTTGAAGAAAAGATTAAAGCTTAAATGCCAGTTAATTATTTAGTCTTAAAGAATTGGTGGCTCAAAGAACAAGTCATACAATTAATAGGTAATCTCATTAAAGAAAATGAGTCCACATAACAGATCTTTTGGGTTGTAGCAAAAGCAATTTTTATCGCTGCACTTTCATCAGCAAAAGAAACAACAGACTGAGAATTTGAGAGTGCAACTTAAAAAAAAAAACTAGAAAAGCAACAAATAAAAAAGGCCAACTAAACAAAAATAGAAATTTTGAAAATCAGAGGAGATAAAGTTGAAAACAAAATAAAATATTGAAATGATAAAAACTGAGAATGCTTCCCTTTCCTACCTCAAAAGCCCTATCAAATAGGTCAGCTATTGGCTAAATTGATCAAAAGAAAAAAGGAAAACCAAGTTGTCGATATAAAAAGTGAAAAAGGAGAATTCAAAATAAAGAGGAAATAATTAAAAACCATTTTTGCCCAACTATATGCCAACAAAACTGAAAACTTTTAAAATAATAGTTTTTTAATGATATCTTTTATTTTTTTCTATCACATAGATTTCCCCTTGTATACCTCCCCTTTCAGTCTTTAAAAACATTTATTTATTTATTCATTCATTCATTCATTCATTCATTTATTTATTTTGGTTTTCAGCATTCGCTTTTATAAGATTTTGAGTTTTAAATTTTCTCCCTGTCTTTCCCCTCGCCCCTCCTCAACACAGCATGCAATCTGATATAGGCCATACATGTGCAATCATATTAAACACATTTCCACATCAGTCATGTTGTAAAGAAGAATTAGAACCAAAGGGAAAAATCACAAGAAAGAAAAAAAGGAAAAATAGTATGCTTCGATCAGCATTCAGTTTCCATAGTTCTTTCTCTGGATGTGGATAGCATTTTCCATCAGGAGTCTTTTGGAGTTGTCTTAGATCATTGCATTGCTCAGAAGGGTTAAGTTTATCAAAGTTGGTCATTGCACAATGTTGCTGTTACTCTATGTAGTATTCTTCTGGTTCTGCTCACTTCACTCAGCATCAGTTCATGCAAGTCTTTCCAGGTTTTTCTGAAGTCTGCCTGTTCATCATTTCTTCTAGCACAATAGTGTATTCCATTACATTCATATACCAATTGATGGGTATCCCCTCGAACACCAATTCTTGGCAACCATAAAAAGAGCCTGCCATAAATATTTTTGTACTTGTGGGTCCTTTTCCCATTTTTATGATCTCTTTGGGATACAGCCCTAGAAGTGCTATTGCTGAATCAAAGTTTTATAGCTGTTTGGGCACAGTTCCATATTGATCTCCAGAATGGTTGGGTCAGTTCACAACTCCACGAGCAATGCATTAGTGTTTCAGTTTTCCCATGTCTTTTCCAACATTTATCATTTTCCTGTTTTGTCATGTTAGCCAATCTGATATGTGTGATATGATACCTCAGAGTTGTTTTAATTTGCATTTCTCTAATAGTGATATAGTGCATTTTTTCCACATGGTTATAGATAGCTTTAATTTCTTCATCTGAAAACTGCCTATTCATATCATTCGTATCCTGTGACCATTTATCATTTGAGGAATGACTTCTATTCTTCAAATTTGACTCAGTTATCTATATATTTTGGAATTGAGGCCTTTATCAGAGACACTGGCTGTAAAAATTGTTTCCCAGCTTTCTGTTTCCCTTCTGATCTTGGTTTCATTGGCTCTAGAGAGCTAACATTTGATTGTACTTCCTCTTGGAGGAAAAGTAGAAATGTTGAATGAGACATACATATTCAGTAATGGGCAATTGATTTGTTTTGTTTGACTTTTTTGTTAATTTTTTTTTGGAGAGGGGAGTATTAAGTAGTAATAGTTATTTTAAAAAAATAAAAGTGTCAATAAAATGTTAAAAAAAAATGTACAGAGAAGAACAGAAATAAGTTCTGAAGGAGACAGACAAGCTGCATAGTATTAGAACTGTTATAAATTAATCATCTACTTTTTTCAAAACCAAGCTATGCATAATGTTATGCATAATGCTACAATAGAGATTCACAGTGTCATATCCAGCCCTCTTTTATGTTGTTCTTTGTGTAAAGAATATTTGTTAATGTTAATAATAATAATTAAATATAATTATTTATATATATTTAAATATAATAATTAAAATAATTTTTAAAAGTCATAGCTTATAAAGCATATATACCAAGGCTAGTTCTTATTCAGCCCAATCTCTAACACCATCTGTGGCTGCTTCTTCAGAGAATAAGACCTGACCAAACTGTCATCAGAGTGAATTACCAATGGTCACATTTATAGTCACAAAACAGGAAAGTGATGCAGGCTTTTTGAGAATGGTTGTAGGAGATAAGAAAACCTTTTCCTTAAAGTTCTTTTAAACAGGAATATTCATTAACTAGAATTTTCATGTATGTGACTCTTCTATATTGAAAAATGATTACTGTCTGTACGAAAATGATCGCTGTCTTCTTGTAAAGATTATTCCCCACAGTATAGACAGCTGTGGAATTCTGAGGAATACCTGACATTTTGAAATAGAGTATCATCACACTAGTTGATTTCCTATTTGTATTCCAGTTTACAGAACTCTGTGAGATTTTGCCTGAATGTGATAGTAGATAATGAAAGATACACATTCTTCAATAGCCAGTCCTTATGTAGATAGCACTTTGAGGTTTGCAGAGCACTTTATAAATGTCTGATTTTTCCTTACATTAATAATGGGGGGTGAGTGCTATTAATTAGTATTCTCATTTTATAGCATTGGAAATGGAAATGGAGTTAAGTAACTTGCCGAGCGTCACAGCTAGTGAGTGTCTGAAGCTGGCTTTGAACTCGGGTCTTCTTGACTCCAGGTCCAGCACTCTATGCACTGTACCACCTATCTACCTGTATTTCTTTTGTTCCTGAATCCTTTTTTAGTTTGAGATTAAATCATAAGAATGTAGATTTAGAGCTGGAAGGGACTTTGGAGACCATCTAGTCTAACCCCCTGGATTTGCAATTGGGGAAATGGAGACCTAGAGAGGTTAAGTAATTTGCTCCAGATTATGATATTTGTGGGGCAGTTAGGTGGTGCAGTGGATAGAGCACCGGCCCTAGATTCAGGAGGGCCTGAGTTCAAATGTGGCCTCAGACAACTAACACTAACTGTGTGACCCTGGGCAAGCCACTTAACCCCATTGCTTAAACAAAAAAAAGATTATGGTATTTGAGCCCTAGACTTTTGTATCCAAATCCAGCACACTTTCTATTGTGAGACCTATACACATGTCCTGATTGAACCATAGAAAAGTAAGGAGAACTGAATCTTTGCTTAGGAAATTTCTCTTAAATGTTGAAGAAAAGGACAAGAGTACTAAAGAGAATAAACAGTATTAGTGTGGTACAAAAGACACTAACCCTGGGCTAGTCAGTTCCCTTCTGTGTGAAATAAGAATAATAAATTGAGCACTACCTACTTAAACAGGACTGTTGCAATAAAAATGATTTGTAAACTTTTAAGAACTAGAGGGATATTAGGTTTCATGTAGCCCCAGATCTTACTGATTCTCTGAGATGGACTTGTGGAACCAATAATTGAGTTTTTCTTCTAGGTGATCACCGACTCGCCCTTCTTCTGTCCCAGCTGGGGGGCAGCCAGCCAGTCCGGGAGCTGCTCACCATGCAACTGGTAGACTGGCATCGGCTCCAGGCAGACTGCTTCATCCAGGAGGATCGACTACGCATTTTTACTCTCTTGGCTGGAAAACCAGTATGTCTTTTCCTCCCGTTTTTCAGATAGTTTAATTCTTCCTGTACTTGGGTTGGGTGTCAACCGTAAGTTTTTACCACAGGAGTTCTTACCTCTAAAATGACTTTGTGGTGTTGAATACCTTGCACTTAGTAAGTGTTCTATAAATATTTGTTGAACAGTCAGAAAAGAAATTGAATACTCTTTTTGAACACTTAGGTACCTGGGGCTAAGCATCCCAGAAGGTCCCTACCATGTCTTTATTCTTTTGGATCTTTAAAGACTGCATTTTTAAATGCCTTTTTAGTTTAATGAAATTCAGCATCTTTTTTTTTTTAATATAGTAATAACTAGTAGAGGTTAGTTGATTCTTATTGAGAGATCCTTATTTCATCTTTCTGTCTTGTCATCCTAAAATAACGCAGAAGGACAAAATTTCTCACCCTGTTTAATACACCTTGGGCATTTAAATTCCTTCATAACCTGGCTTCAGTCTACTTATAGGTTTTCCCTTATGCATTTTCTTTGGTCCAGCTAAACTTGCTTTCTGCAGCATCCATCTCCTGTCTTTGTGTCTTTACATATACTATCCTCCTATGTTTGGAATGCTCTCCTTTCTTTCTTTTTTTTTTTTTTAATTAATTTATCAACAATCACTTCCATAAACTTTTGAGTTTTAAATTTTTCTTCCCCCCCCAAGACAGCACACAATCTGGTATAGGCTATATATATATGTGTGTGTATATATATATATATATATATTCCTATTAAACATATTTTCACATTAGTCATATTGCAAAGAGGAATTAGAACCAATAGGAGGAACCACAAGAAAGAGGAAACAAAACAAGACAGAAGAAAAAGAGCAAATAGTATGCTTTGATCTGCATTCAAACTCCATAGTTCTTTTCTTTGGATGTGGATAGCATTTTTCATCATGAGACTTTTGGAGATGTCTTAGATCCTTGCATTGTTGAGAAGGGCTAAGTCTATCAAAAGTTAGTCATCACACAACGTGGCTGTTACTGTGTACAACGTTCTCCTGGTTCTGCTCACTTCACTCAGCATCAGTCCATACAAGTCTTTCCAGGTTTTTCTGAAGTGTGCTTGCTCATCATTTCTTATAGCACAATAGTATTCCATTACATTCATAAACTATAACTTGTTCAGCCATTCCCCAATTGATGGGCATCCCCTCAAATGCCAATTCTTGGCCACCAGAAAAAGAACTGCTATAAATATTTTTGTGCATGTGGGTCTTTTCCCCATATTTATGATCTCCTTAGGATATAGCCCTAGAAGTGCTATTGCTGAGTCAGAGGGTACAAACATTTTTATAGTCCTTTGGGCATAGTTCCAAATTGCTCTCCAAAGTGGTTGGATCGTTTAACAACTCTGTCAACGGTTTTGTTCCAAATTAGTGTTCAAATTTTCACACATCTCCCAACATTTATCATTTTCCTGTTTTGTCATGTTGGCCAATGTGATAGGTGTGATGTAGTACCTCAGAGTTGTTTTGATTTGCATTTCTCTAATCAATAGTGATTTAGAGCATTTTTTCATATGACTATAAATGGCTTTAATTTTCGTTATCTGAAAACTGCCTGTTCATATCCTTTGACCATTTATCAATTGGGGAATGACTTGTATTCTTATAAATTTGACTTAGTTCTTTATGTATTTTAGAAATGAGGTTCTTATCAGAGACATGGGTTGTGAAAATTCTTCCCCAGTTTTCTGCTTCCCTCCTAATATTGGTTGCATTGGCTTTGTTTGTGCAAAAACTTTTCAATTTAAGGTAATCAAAATTATCCATTTTGCATTTCATAATGTTCTCTATCTCCTGTTTGGTCATGAATTCTTCTGTTCTCCATAAATCTGACAGATAAACTATTCCTTGCTCTCCCAGTTTGCTTACAGTATCAGCCTTTATGTCGAAATCATTTTGACCTTATTTTGGTATACGGTGTAAGATGCTGGTCTATACCTAGTTTCTGCCATACTCTTTTCCAGTTTTCTCAGCAGGTTTTATCAAATAGTGACTTCTTATCCCAGAAGCTGGGGTCTTTGGGTTTATCAAATAGTAGATTACTATAGTCATTGACTACTGTGTCTTACATATCTAACCTATTCCATTGATCCACTACTCTGTTTCTTAACCCGTACCAATTAGTTTTGATGATTGCTACTTTATAATACAATTTAAGATCTGGAATGGCTAGGCCACCTTCCCCTGTATTTCTTTTCATTAGCTCCCTTGATATTCTGTATCTTTTGTTATTCCAGATGAATCTTGTTATTATTTTTTCTAGCTGTATAAAATAATTTTTTGGTAGTTTGATTGGTGTGGCACTGAATAAGTAAATTAGCTTAGGTAGAATTGTCATTTTTATTATATTAGCTCTGCCTACCCATGAGCAACTGATATTTTTCCAGTTATTTAGATACGACTTTATTTGTGTGAAAAGTGTTTTGTAATTATGTTCATATAGTTCCTGGGTTTGTTTTGGTAGGTAGACTCCTAAATTTTTTATAATGTCTACAGTAACTTTAAATGGAATTTCTCTTTTTATCAGTTGCTATTGGACTTTGTTGGTATGCCAATGATTTATGTGGGCTTATTGTATAGCCTGCAACTTTGCTAAAATTGTTTATTATTTCAAGTACTTTTTCACTTGATTCTCTAGGATTCTCTCAGTGTATCATCATATCATCTGAGTGCTCTCCTTTCTTAGCTATACCATTTAGAATACTCAGTTTCCTTCAAAATTCAGCTCAGTTTCTACTTAGTGAGGCTTTCTAATTCTTCTACACTGTCTACCCCACCCTCTGCAAAAAAAATGTACCCTATGTGTATTTTTATATACCTATATGTGTACATGTTAAATTCTTTGACTAATATAAGTTTCTTGAAGGCAAGGGCTATTTTATTTTTGTCTTTTTATCATTTTATATCACAGCACACTGTCTGAAACAAAAGTCAGAGTTTAATATCCTTGTTGGTTGGCTGATTGAAACACATCACAAACCACTTTGTAAATCCTTTCAATTGATTCAGTGAAGTGGACCCTGGTAAAGACAAAGTGAAAAACCAACAGAGTTAAAGATTAATATAAGGTCATGTACAAGCTCTGCCATTCCTGTTTGTTGCCTCTTGTAGGTATGGCGACTCTCAGAACAGAAGAGTATCAACGTCTGTTCCCAGCTGGATTGGAAGCGCTCAATTGCTGTCCATTTCTGGTACCTCCTTCCTCCTACTGCTTCCATTTCCCAGGCTCTCAGCATGTATGAGGAAGCATTCCAGGTAATGAGTGTCAGGTAGACCTAAAGAAAAAAGGCTCAGGAGTCTGGGTAGGAAAATATGAGGGATGATCTCATTCCTGTAGCCCATTCCTTTGCCTCTGGACAAGTTGGGCTGAAACCTTCCTGGAAGAATACTTAGCTTACCTTTATTTAAATGTCCATGTTGTTCTATATTAACGTTATTTGGTCAGAATTTCTCAAGTCTGGCTTCATTTAGTAATGTTCCTTCATGACATCCAGATCTGGGACACTATTGTGGGAAGGGAAACCAGACATATTTGTTTTACTTATCTTTATCTTAATCCTTATTCTAAGGCTGTGTTTAAGTTACTATATTATTTGTGCTAACTTGACTGTTTTTTTTTTCTGTGAGCCATATTCCCTTTGTCAGAAGTATTTGTCAGGGACAGTAGAGTCAGGGAGCCAGGAAAATAACAAAAATGACCAGTCAAGGGAGTTGGTTGAAAGATGAGGGCCACATATATCTGTTCTAGGTCATTAAACCTAGGAGACCCATTTTGGACAGCATGGCTATAACATAACCTTCTGAAATCTTAATATTTTTTAGTCTTTTATAGTCCTGTCATGCCTTTCCCAGAAAAATTGCAATGGGGTTAGTTTCTGGCCAAAGAATGGATGAAAGCAGTTGTCTACGATCTTAATATCCTTTCTCTGTAGAATACCTCTGAAAGTGAAAAATATGCCTGTAGTCCCCTGCCTTCATATCTTGAAGACTCTGGCTGTGTGTTGGAAGATGACAATACAAGGAGACCTCTTAGAGATGTGTGCTTTCACCTCCTCAAGCTCTACAGTGACAGGTAGATATGATTTGTTTTGCCCTGGAGGTTTTCCCTCCAGTCTTGCTGCTGCTGTTTGCCTCTTCTGAATATTCCTTAACTATTGAGAGCTCAGGAGAGCTGATTAAATAATAGGAGTAGTAGCTGACATTTATGTAGTGATTTCATATACATTAGGTAATTTGATATCCAAACAGCCTTGTATTGGAACAGCAAGAAGACTACCAGCACATAATAGAGAACGTGGATTCAAATCACCATTTGCTACTTACTTACCTGAGTAATTTTAAGCAAGACTTCTATGGGCTTCAGTTTACTCATCTGTAAAAATGTGGTGACTTATTAAGTATCTGTAAGGCTTTTTTCAGCTCTGTATACTATGGATAGTTTGATAGTTGTCTTCTAGTATTTGAAGAATTGATGTGGAAGAATAAAATTTGTTCTGCTTGGCCCCCAAAGGGTAGAACCAGGATCAATGAAAGAGGAGGATGCTTTGGAATACAGATTTCATGTCATTGTAATACAAAACTTCCAAACTATTAGTAATGAGGTCGCCATCACTGGAAAAGAGCAAAATGCTACATGACTCCTTTTTAGGGCTACAGTAGAGGTCACTTACTCTTTGAGGTATCTTTGAGCACCTGGTGTTAACCAAGGGCATTAACAAAACATCTGAGTTAACAGATTAAGCCAAGTAGAAACAAAATGCATCTAAAATAAAAAAGGAAAAGGTTGGTTGGGGTGGGGGGGTGGGAAAATCTTTGTATCAGATTTCTCCAGAAAGGGTTTGGTATTCAAGATATACAGACAGCAAATAGATATGTACTATATGTAAAACCAAAAGCTATTCCCCAATAGATAACTGGTAAAAAGATATGAACAAACAGTTGTCAAAAAAAAAGTTACAAATTGTTAACTAAATGAAGAATGTGCCAAATCACTAATAATAAGAGAAATTAAATTCAAAACAACTATAAGATTTCACCTCCCACCTAGCACACTGACAAAGATGACAAAAGATAGAAATAGTCATGGTGGAGTAAAAGCAGTAACTTGCTTGAGCTCTCCACCAAACCCCTTCAAATACCTGTAAGAAATGGCTCTAAACAAATTCTTGAGCAGCAGAACCCACAAAAAGACAGAGTGAAACAAATTTCCAGCCCAAGGCAACCTGGATGGTTGATTAGAAAGGTCTATTGCACCAAACTGGGAGATAAATGCAGTTCAGTGTGGACGCACAGGCAATCTGGAGCAGGCCTTGGGACTGAATCACAGGCAGCTGTGGCGGTTTCCAGACTTCTCAACCCACAAATGCCAAAGGCAACTTAGAAGGTCAATAGAAAAAGTCTGTGACATCGGTGAGAGAGAAGCTCGGTCCCAGCTCCAGTCCCAGCGCAGCCCCAGGGCGGCAGCTGCTTCCGGAGCTTCAGGCCCACAGACAGAGGGGGAATCAAGTGGCTGATCAGAGGGGGATTACAGGGATCTCTTTGCTAGTGCTGAGGCAGGATTCTTTTGCTTTGCCTGTGCTTAGATCTGGGTCACAGTTGTGGGTGGCAATCCTAGGGCAAGGAGGAGTGCTGGTGTGGTGGAGATTGTAGTGGCAGTGGAGAGGAAATCTTCCTCACGGTTCCAAGGCAGAAAGAGTGCTTGTGATCACTAATAGACCAGAGCACAGGCCAGGAAAGGAGTGAACCCCTCGCCCCTTGATCATATCACCTTGGAAGAGCTGAAAACTTACAAGTCCCTAGAAGTATCTCTGAAAACAGCTGCACAAAACCCTTGAAGCTTGGGACAGTACATTCTCTACACTGGAAGCAGACCCCTACCTTGACAAAGAGTTTAAAACTCAAGTAATTGACTGGGATCATGAGCAAACTGCACAAAAAAAGGCAGACCATAGAATCTTACTTTGGTGACAAAGAAGATCAAAACATACAACCAGAAGAAGACAACAAAGTCAAAACTCCTACATCCAAAGCCTCCAAGACAAATATGAATCAGTCCCAGGCCATAGAAGAGCTCAGAAAGGATTTTGAGAAGCACGTAAAAGAAGTAGAGGAAAAACTGGGAAGAGAAATGAGAATGATGCAAGAAAATCATGAAAAATTAGTCACCAGCTTGCTAAAGGAGATCCAAAAAAATACTGAAGAAAATAACACCTTAAAAAATAGCCTAACCCAAATGGCAAAAAAAGGTCCAAAAAGCCAATTAGGAGAAGGCCTTAAAAAGCAAAATTGGCCAAATGAAAAAGGAAGTTCAAAAGCTCACTGAGGAAAATACTTCCTTAAAAATTAAAATGGAGCAATTGGAAGCTAGTGACTTTATGAGAATCGAGACATCGTAAAACAAAAGCAAAAGAATGAAAAAATAGAAGACAATGTGAACTATCTCATTGGAAAAACAACTGACCTGGAAAATAGATCCAGGAGAGAGAATTTTAAAATTATTGGACTATCTGAATGCCATGATCAAAAAAAAGAGCCTAGACATCATCTTTTAAGAAATTATCAAGGAAGACTGCCCTGATATTCTAGAACCAAGGGTAAAATAGAAATGGAAAGAATCCACCAATCACCTCCTGAAAGAGATCCCCAAAGGAAAACTCCTAGGAATATTGTAGCCAAATTCCAGAGCTCCCAGGTCAAGGAGAAGATATTGCAAGCAGCCAGAAAGAAACAATTCAAGTATTATGGAAACACAATCAGGATAATGCAGGATTTAGCCGCTTCTACATTAAGCGACCTCAGAGCTTGGAATATGATGTCCCGGAGGGCAAAGGAGATAGAATTACAGCCAAGCAAAACTGAATGTAATCCTTCAGGGGAAAAAATGGTCATTCAGTGAAATAGAGGACTTTCAAGCATTCTTGATGAAAAGACCAGAGCTGAATAGAAAAATTGACTTTCAAATACAAGACTCATGAGAATCCTGAAAGAGAAATCATAAGGGACTTAATAAGTTTAAACTGTTTACATTCCTACATGGAAAGATGATATTTGTAACTCATGAGACCTTTGTCAGTATTAGGGTAGTTGGAGGGGGGAAAGATTATATGTATAGATAGATTGATAGATAGAGGGCACAGGGTGAGGTGAAGATGAATGAGTGATATCTGGAGAATAAAATTAAGGAATGAGAGAGGACTATACTGGGAGAAGTAGAAAGGGAGAGGTAGAATGGAGTAAATTATCTCACATAAAACAGACAAGAAAAGACTTTTACAGTGGAGGGGAAGTGGGGGAAGATGAGAGGGAATGAGTGAATCTTAACTCTCTTTAGATTTGGCTTAAGGAGGGAATAACATACACATTTAATTGGGTATGGAAAGCTATCTTACCCTACAGGAAAATAGGGGGAAAGGGGATAAGAGAGCAGGAGGATGATAGAGGGGAGGGCATATTGGGGGAGGGGGTAATCAGAAACAAACACTTTTAAGGAGGGACAGGGTCAAAAAAGAGAACAGAATAAACAGGGGGCGGGTTAGGTTGAAGGGAAATAGAGTTAGTTTTCCACAGCATGACTACTGTGGAAGTGTTTTGCATGACTACACAAGTATAACCTGTATCAAGTTGCTTGCCTTCTCATTGAGGGTGGGTGGGGAGGGAGGAAGGGAGAAAATTTGGAACCCAAAGTTTTAAAAACAAATACTAAAAAATTGTTTTCACATGCTACTGGGAAATAAAATATACAGGGGTATATGAGGTATAGAAATCTATCCTACCCTACAGAAAAATAGAAGAGGAAGGGGATAAGAGAAGGGGGTGGAGATAGAAGAGAGGGCAGATTAGGGGAAAGGGTATTCAGAATGTATGCTGTCTTGGGGTTGGGGGAGGGACAAGGGGGAGAAAATTTGGAACTCAAAATCTTACAGAAGTGAATGTTGAAAACTAATAATAAATAAATTAATGAATCTTAAAAAAAAGAAAAAAAAGATAGGAATAGTCAATATTAGAGGTGTTGTGGGAAGAAAGACACATTACTGTATTGTTGGTGGAGTTGTGAACCATTTTGGAATACAATTTGGAATTATACAAGTAAAGTGATGAAAATGTCCATACCCTTTGATCCAGAAATTCTACTAGTAGGCAAGACCCTAAGGAAGTTAATGATAAAATGAAAGACCTCATAAACACTGAAATATTTATACAGCACATTATGTGATAGCAAAGAAGTGGAAACAAAGTAGATGCCCATTGATTGACTAAACAAGTTGTAGTACATGAATGTAATGGAATATCACTGTGCTTTAAGAAATGAAAATATTGTGAATACATAGAAGCATAGAAATATTGATATAATCTAATGAACAATGAATTAAGTGCAGCCCCATCTCACCCACCAAAATATGCACATACACCATGATTATAACAGTATAAATGGAAAGTACACCCACAAGACAACCAAAAGTGATTATTTACAAAATTAAAAAGAACAAGCATGGCCTCAAAGATGAGAAGATACCTTCATTCCTTTGCAGAAGTGGTCCACAGATGTGGTATTTTACATATATTTGAAGATTTTTGATATATTGATAAGTTTTGCTGGGATGGGGTGGGAGAGGCATGGATCTCCTTTATATTTATTGTATGGAATGGTTCTCTGGGAAGGGGGCAGGGTTGGAGATAACTGTGAGAAATTCTGGTGAAGGTAAGAAAACAAAAAATTAATAAAAATATTTATTTTTTTTTTAAAAGAGACAAAGCCAGGGGAACTTAACAGCCAAGATTTTAGCATGGACAAAGGCAAGACCAATCCTATTGCAAAAATCTGAACTTCACACCCAGCCAGATAATGATCAGGAAATCCAATGAGAAACTATACTAACTGTCTTCTTCCACCCTAGAATTACACAAAAAGCCAGCTAGCAGCCCATGGGCAATAGGAAAAGTATCCACCAGCAAAGCCAGTACTGTTCTAGGTAACTAAGCAGGTAGCCTCCCAGCAGGACCAGAAATGAACTAGAAACTAGCAACTTGTAAGACTGTTCAGGGGCTGCAAGATTAGGAGCTCCCCTCTAATTAGGGGCTCTGTTTCAAAGCCTTCAGGGTCAGGTCCTTGGAAGACTCAGGGAATGTCAGGGACCAGGGTAGCATGACAGCCCTTAATCCAAAGTATGAGCCAAGCAGGGCTGACCAGCCACCCAGAAGCACAAGCAGGAATGGAGCTTGACCATGGTATAAAGCTTTAATTCAGGGACAAAGCTGGAGAGATAGAAGACTTAAGAAGATAGTAGCCTTAAGAAGCACTGAAGGGGTCAAGAGTGGAAAAAGTTTTAAGAAGCTCTGGACTAAAGAAGACCACTAGCTAGATTCAAAAATTATTCTAGCTGTAGAGGTTCCCCTAAAAGAAGGAGCAAGTAACTCTATAATAAGTGCAAGTAGAGACTTGAAGAAAAAATGGATTTTCCACAGGGACTACATGAATACCTAGAGAAAAATGAAGCAAGAAATAGTAAAGGAAATAAAAGCTTTGGAGTAAAGAACTGGAAGAACAAGTATCTTAGAAGAGAAAGTGGTAAACCTTACACCATGTAACAGACTCCTTAAAAACTTGATCTAAGATCAGACAGAAATTGATGAATGATTCCATGAAGCAGCAAGAAATATTAGAACAAAATTCAAAGGTTGAAAAATGTAGAAGAAAATATAAGCTATCTGATATAAAAATCAGCCTAAAGTATAAAACAAGTCAAAGAGAGATAATTTAAGAATCTTTGGACTCCCTGAAAATCATGAAAAAGTTTGGACACTGCATTTCAATAAACGATAAATGAAAACTACCCAGATACTTTGGAACCACAGGAAAAAGTGGAATCCACCAAATAATCCCTTGACCCAGAGATATTACTACTCAGTCTGTGCCCTAAAACAAAGAAAGAGGAAAAGCATTCATATTTAAAAAAATATATAGGAGCTCTTGTGGTAGCAAAGAAACTAAGGGGGTGCCCATCATTTAAGGAGTGACTGAACAAATTATGATAGATGACTGTAACGGAGTATTATTATTCCATAAGAAATAATGAAAGGAGATTGGCTAACATGACAAAACAGGAAAATGATAAATGTTGGAGAAGATGTGGAAAAATTGACACAGTAATGCATTGATGGGGGAGTTGTGAAGTGATCCAACCATTCTGGAGAACAATTTGGAACTATGCCCAAACAGCTATAAAACTGTACCCTTTGACCTAGCAATACCACTTGTAAGTCTATTTCCCAAAGAGATCATAAAAATGGGAAAAGGACCCACCTGTACAAAAATATTTATAGCAGCTCTTTTTGTGGTGGCCAAGAATTGGCATTTGAGGGAATGCCCATCTGTTGAGGAATGACTAAACAAGTTGTGGTATATGAATGTAATGAAATACTATTGTGCTACAAAAAAATGATGAACAGGTGGACTTTAGAAAAATCTGGAAAGACTTGCATGAACTGATGCTGAGTGAAGTGAGCAGAACCAGGAGGACATTGTACATAGTAACAGCCACATTGTGCAATGACTAACTTTCATAGACTTGGCTCTTCTCAGCAATGCAGTGATCTAAGACAACTCCAAAAGACTCGTGATGGAAACTGCTATCCACATCCAGAGAAAAAATTATGGAATCTGAATGCAGATGGAAGCATACTAGCTCTCTTTTGTTGTTTTGTTTCTTCTTTCTGGTGGTTCTTCCTATTGGTTCTAATTCTTTTAAGTCTTCTGTACAGCATGACTAATGTGAAAATAACATAGAACTTTGGGGAGAATAGATAGTTATCTGTCTAAGCCCATAAAATTTAAATCTAGTTTGCTTTCTGTTATAACATTTGGATTATCTTTTTGCATCTCTGCTAACACAGCAAGAAGTAGGAAATTCATTGAAGTCTCAGCTCAGTCTGTGGTCCATTTTTTGGGCCAGTGTGATAATATTTTTCTCTTACCTCTTCCCCAACCTCCCAACCACACACCACCCCCCCTCCCCCATTACACACATTCTTCACCTACTCTTTCTTACTTTCTCTTATAGACATTATGATCTGAATCAGCTGTTGGATCCCCGGAGTATAACCTCTGATCCTTTGGACTATCGCTTGAGTTGGCACCTCTGGGAAGTCCTACAGGCCCTGAATTATACCCACCTGTCTGAGCAGTGTGAAGGTGTGCTGCATGCCAGCTATGCTGCTCAGCTTGAGAGTGAAGGACTGTGGGAGTGGGCCATCTTTGTCCTACTACATATCACTAACACAAGGTGAGTGAAAGTAGGACCTGCTTCAGACCCCAAAAAGTAATATGAAGATAATTTTCTTCCAGTTTAATTCAGAAGATGTGTATTGAGCACTTTGTATGCAATCCGGCCCTTTGCAGGCATTCTAGGAAAAGGACAACTTATAATTGCTACTGTCAGGGATTTGATAGTGTAGTTGTTTACTTACACAGGTGGTAGCATTCCTAGGATTCACTCGGTCTGCAGCAGAATGTATTACAGTGTTTCCACCAAAACCTTCCTCAAGTGCCTTATCGTGAGGTATATCCTGGATCCTTGAAGATGATAGCAGTGGAACACAAGTTTTAGGTCCCAGCATCAAGCCCAGTGATTAGGGATTGTGAACTTGCATTCATGAGGATCACTCTAGTCAAGTTAAACAATATTTAAAAATATTAAAAGGGCATTTATTAAATGTCAGGCCTTCAGCTAGAAACTGAGGATTCAAAGACAAAACTGTCCCTGCTCTTAATTTACTTTCTTTTGGGGATGTGTAACAACATGTACCCAGAAAAGTAAACAAAACATATGCAAAATAATTTCGGTGTGGGGAAGGGGAGGGTGTGTAGGGAGGAGAATATTAGCAATTGGGAGAATCAGAATAGTCTTCCAGAAAGAAGCAGCTGACTCTTTAAGGAAGCTCAGCTTCTCTGAGGTGAAGGTGAGAAGGAAATGCATCCAAGGCATGAGGGAGGATGAATTGGAGGAGGTAGAGGAACCAATTAAGAGGCTATTGCCATAATCCAAGCACAGGAGATGATGAGTGCTTAAACTCGTGTGGCAGCTGTGTGAGTAGAGAGAATTAGATGGATGCAGTGGACACTGTGAATGGAAAGTTGACAAGACTTATAATTGATTGGATGTTGGAGAGAATGAGGAGTGGGAGATGACTGAGATTGTGAACCAGGGTGACTGGAAAGATAGTAGTGCTTGAGGAAGGGGTAGAGGGAATTAATGAATTTTATTTTGGCTGTTTTGAGATACCCGTGGCAATCTAGGTAGGGATGTCTAATAAACAACTAGTAATAGAAGCCTGGAATTCAGGAGTAAAATGTAGGCTGGATGTGTAAATCTGAGAGAATTCTGTGTCTGGGTTATAGTTATGCCCATGAGATTGCCTGGGGAAAGAGAAGAAAGCCCAGAACAGCTCTGGAAAGGGACTGGGAACACTCAGCGGAAAAAAAAGGAAAAGCAGCAGCTCAGGAGAACCAGCACTGGTTACAGAGGCAGCTTCAGAGATTCAGGTTTTGCTTTCATGGAGCTTACAGTCTTATTAGGAGGAGAAGACACAAACAGATCAATGTGGAAGATGTACGAAAGGCCTATAACCAAAGAGCCCTCAAGGAAGATTTCATGGAGTAGGTAGCATTTGACGATCTCATCACTAGATTGGTCTTTGCACAATGAATTTTCTCAGCCACATCAGCACATAGATATTTTCTAAGGAGTGAAGGGGTTGGGTCAGCCCCAGCAGAAAGAGTCTATCAACAAAATCACAGTTCCTTGAAGTAGTTATTGGAAAGAACAATAGATTTGGAATTAGCTGTACTGGGAACATATTTGAGCTGTACCATTTAACCACTTACTAGCTATGTGGCCTGAAGTGACTTGACAGCCTCTGAGTGTATTCCCTTATCTGTAAAAACCTAAGTTACTTAACTCACAGGGTGTTGTGAGGAAAATACTTTATAAGGAGTAAAGTACCATAGGAATGTGAGCTACTGCAATTATTTTCCAGGCTAGAATTAAAAGTCTGAAGGAAGCCCAGGGTTCCAAATTTCTTCCTTGTTCATTTTGTTTCATTGTCAAATAGGCTTTGTTCTCAGACTCACAGGCTCTTTGTCAGTGAAAAGGAAATGTGAATTCTCAGACTGTAAATGCTCAGGGTTTTATATTGGAAAAAGACACTGTGTCCCCCCAACCCTCAAACTTTTTATCTTCTAAGTGCTGATAATGGGAAGTTAACCCCAGGGAAGCAATGCTAAAAACAGGCTGGAGCAGGTAGCGATCATGCTGTCTTAACAAAAACCATTTCATCCTTCTTTCTTTGTTCTCCCTTCCTAGTATGCGTGAGAAAGCAGTACGGGAGCTGCTCACTCGGCATTGCAGACTGTCAGAAACCCCTGAATCCTGGGCCAAGGAGTCCTTCCTGACCCAGAAGCTCTGTGTGCCTGCTGAGTGGATCCATGAGGCCAAGGCTGTGCGTGCCCATATGGAATGTGACCAGCACCTGGAGGCCCTCTACCTATTTAAAGCTGGACACTGGAACCACTGCCACAAACTTGTCATCAGGCATTTGGCCTCTGGTGGGTTGGGGTTTCTTGACCTCAGTTCCAAACTGTACCATGCTAGAAGAGCTCTGACAGAAACCAGAAGACAGGATTCTATCTCTGATAGCCCATTTTAAAAGTGAGCTGGCTCTGGGTGGATGGAAGATTAATTTTGGGATTAGGGGTAGGAAATAAGAAGTGGTAAGGTTGACTTAGTTCTCCAATAATGTTTTTGATCTAAAGTAACCCAGTTCAGCTTGGTAGTAACAGCTACACCTAAGACCTTTAATATTTGTCTCATAAACTACATGAAACCACTTCTCCTCATATGTCATTTGTAGAGTTTCAAGAAATGAAGTTGTGATTGGCTTTTTTATTCCTTCCTTGGACAGATTCTCCTTTGAGCCTTTCCTTCATCCTGAGTATATGACTCTGGCATATTCTATTCTTATCTTCCTCAGATGCCATTATTAATGAGAACTACAGCTACCTAAAGGGATTCCTAGAAGACCTCTGCCCCCCAGAGCGCAGCAGCCTTATTCAGGACTGGGACACAGCTGGACTAGTTTATCTGGATTACATCCGGGTCATTGAAATGCTCAGCCGAATTCAGCAGGTAGCTGAGGCTGAAAGGGTCACAAAAGCTTGATTAGCTTCCTGCCCGCAGGCAGGCCTTTCTGTGACCACTCTGTGCAACAAATATAGCAAATAACTTTTCTCCCTTTCTAGGTCAATCATAAATATATTTGTGAAAGCACTTGTCAAATTTTTTTAAGGCCATTACATTCTGCTTAAGTATATAAATAAGAGGTTATGATAATTAACTAAAGAAATGAAAGCAGGAGAGGGGGCAGGTGGGTGCTAGTCCTGAATATCCATCTCTGCCTCATCCACAAATAATCAGGGAAACTTCCTAGAGGAGGTTTAGTTTGAATGATGAGGGCAACAGCGATTTTATGGGTATGAAATGGGAAGACCTGCAGAGCACAAAGAAGGGAAGGCAGTGGGTCAGCATATCTGACTTCCCATAAGATAAGCAGTGACTCTTGTGAAATCTTAAGACCCCTACAATGTTTGCTTTGGTGTTCAAAGCAATCAGCTGGTTTTTGCTCAAAAAATTTTTTAAGAGTGAGTGACCAGATTAAAAATGTTTTAGATATGGGGAAGTAATCTGAGGGTAGAATAACCCATAAGGAGAAGATAATTTGGAAGCATAGCAAGAAGCAGTTTTGTAGGGAGAAAATACGGCCCTTGTTTCTGTTCTTTGGTTCTTACCATATCCTGGCTGGGCCCTGACTATAGTATATCCCCTTTCTCCAGGCTCCCAGCTCCCATCCCTGAGTAATAAGGGATTGAACTTGGGCTAAATAAGAGTCATGATTTCTTCTGTCTAGTTCATCCTTTCCATAAAAGTTTTATCAGGATCATTTGATCCCTTTCAGCAGAGGGAACAGAAGCTCAGAAAAATGACATGACACTGTCAGGGTAATGCAGCAAGCTGGGGTTAGAGCCTGAATTAGAACCCAATGGCTGCATTGCAGGATCTAGCTTGGGGAGGGGGATGATTGTCGGCTTGAGCTTTCTGAGACTGACCCTTTCTTCTTGTCAGCTTGATTGTCCAGGCTATGAACTAGAGAAATTGCATACCAAAGTGACCTCTCTTTGTAACCGGATAGAGCAGATTCACTGCTCCAATGCCAAGGACCGACTGGCCCAGTCAGGTAAACTCCTATTTGTCTGTCCATCTATGTCCATCCATCTGTCTAGGTTCTCAGTATTCTCAGGGCTAAGCTCTTGTCTCTTGAGTTGTGTGTCAGGGTTAGCTGAGCACACTTAACAATTCCCCTTCTGTCTTCCAGACATGGCCAAGCGTGTGGCCAACATCCTTCGGGTTGTTTTGAGTCTTCAGCAGGCTCCAGATGGAGTCCCAGATTCACCTGCAGACCCGCAGCGTGTCCCTCTGCGCTTGCTGGCCCCCCATATTGGTCGGCTCCCCATGCCTGAGGACTACGCCTTAGAGGAGCTGCGTAGCCTCACACAGTCCTACCTCCGAGAACTGACCGTGGGGAGCCAGTGAGCCCCCGGGCCTCTGCCCCACCCCACCCCATCCGCTTCTCGTGCAAATGCTGGTGCGTGTTCTGTTTGGATAATTCATTCATTTGCCATTCTCCTGGTCAGGGAAAGGGAGAGGTGATGTCCCACTCCCCCTATCCCCCTACTGCACACAGTGCCCTTTAGGGCCTGCCAGGGCCATTTACGGGGGTGGGGAGCAGCAGTGGGGTTTTTAGAGCCCCAGGTAGGAGCTCAAACCTCTGATGAGGTCACAGTCACTATTGTTGTTTCGTTGTGTTGGGTTTTTAATGGTCAATAAAGCACCTTGGGCAGACTCCCCTCAATAAGCAGGGGGGCCCCTCCAACCCCTCGCTATCTTCCATTTCCATTCGCTGCAGGTCCCATGTCCTCTTTAGGGATGGAGAAGCCTTGCTCCCTAAGGAGTCATTCCCTCTGTCCCTCACCCCACTGTACCCCATACCCTTTCTTACCTGCACCAGATTGGGAGGCATCTTCAGGTTGTTTCTTTTTAAACACTGAGATTTTCTAGCTCATAAGCTAGAACAGGTTGGATAGAGTGAATGAATTTAACGAGTCCTTTCTGAGCTCATCATAGTGCAGGGGCTAAGTCCTGCATTCTTTAGTCATTGGCTCTTGGCACTACTGTGGGAATGGAGTCCCACCCCTGCTGCCTTGGGGTTCAGATTGTCAGTCATAATCCTTGACAACTCTGGGGTAAATACGTCTCACCCACCCCCATCCTCTACTCCCAGCAGGTCCTTGTAAACCAGCCAGCCACTTTTGTTTTTTCATAGACTTTAGAAGTTTGTCGGTGGCCTTCATCCCTGTTCATCCTCCCCACTTGCTGAGTGTATCAATGTGTAACATGTCTGCTGGACCTCTTGCCAAAGCAGGGAGTCATTAGAAGGTGGAGGAGCCTGGAGAACAGAGACTTGCCCACTGTCCTCCCCACCCACCCACACACACCCCCACACACACCCAATCAACTTGTGGCCGCCTCCCCCATCTACATGTAGACTGGCCCCTCCATCTAGTAGCATCTAAAGTCAAATGAAGACTGTATGTGCCGTACCCTAGAGGAGGAGAGGAGGCCCCCGTCAGACAGCTGCTGGCCCATGGGAAATCCCAAATAACAGACTGGGGTATCTGGTGTCAGGTACTGCTGTGAATATCAGCTTTACCCAGGGTCTTTATGCATGAGGATTATGTAAAGGTTTTTATTAAAACATATATATATATATAAATAAATGATCTAGATTATTTTCCTGTCTGTTTTTCTGAAGCTACTTTCTTAAAAAAAAATAAATAAAATGTTTATCACATTCCTGGAGCTGATTTTGCCTTTGCATTTTTGAATGAATTTAAACCAGATCAGAAGAGTGGTTTAAAGGTGGCATCTGCAGAAAAGAAAACTTTGTTGTGGTTGTTTCAGTCATGTTGGACTCTTTGTGAACCCATTTGGGGTTTTCTTGGCAAAGATACTGGAGTGGTTTGCCATCTTCTTCTCTAGCTTATTTTACAGATGTGGAAACTGAGATAAACAGGGTTAGATGACTTGCCCAGGGTCACACAACTAGTAAGTATCTGAGACCGAATTTGACCAGTCCAGCTGAAAACATTTAGTATTTGATTCACTTTTTTTTGCTAGTTAATGGGATTAAATGACTTGCCCAGGGTCACTCAGCTAGTAAGTGTCAAGTGTCTGAGCCCAGATTTGAACACAGGCCCTCCTGACTCCAAGGCCAGTGGCTGTATCCACTGCTCCACGTAGCCAAAGTGAGGCTTAGGGGTAGGCTTTTTTTCTTTACTGATTGGCCTTAGAGCTAGGGGTCAGTGTTATTGGTCATAACTCTAAATGTTTCCATTTAATGGTGACTCTACTCATGAGTCCCTTCTCCTCTTCCCCCACCAAAAATAAAACAAAAAACAGATATAAATGATCTCCTAAAAACAGCAGAAATCTGTTTTGAAAGTGTACTATAAAGAAATCTGCGAGCAATTTGCTAAATAGAAAGTCATCATGCTTTAAGTGTGAGGACATAAGCATGAATGAGATCTGACAGTGATATGTCAGATCTCCACTTGGCAGAAATGATTAAACTTGCATGAATGGCTAAGGTTAGAATTCTGTAGGGGGTGAGGGAGGATAGAAAAACATTACCTGGACCAGTCATGAAACCCTTTTCAGTGAATCAGTGGGTATTCTTGATACTGAATAGGAACAAAAATTAATGTTAGCTAGTCTCTTCATAACTGGCAAAAATTGGTTTCTATCCAGGGAACCAACTTTTTGGAAGCTGTGAAGCCTACTTGATTGATACCCCCAGACCACCACTATTCTTGTGGTAGGAAAAGTTTAACCCTCAATTTTCTGTCCCAAGATGGACTATATAACTTAAGTTACTATTCATATTCTAAAGGTTTAGAGAATAAATTAACATAGTACTTTAAAAGAATCTCCTAAAAAAAAAACCCGGTTCAGTTATCCTTGAATAATGGCAAAAAAAATTAGACCAGAGGAGTCCCTTTCACAGGCAATTATTTGCACATGTTACCACTATTAAAATAGTGCTCATTAGGTTGTAAGCTCCTTGAGGGCATGGACTGTCTTCTGCCTCTTTTTGTACCCCCAGCATTTAGCACATAACATGTTAAGGAAGTGTTTGTTGATGGATGGATGGATGTTTGGATGGTGAGAATACATTCAGTGGTACTTCACATTTGAGGATGCTATGCCTAGAGCCTATCATGTCAAATTCTTAATAAGTTAGGAACCAAAAAGTATTGGGAATTGAGGGGATGCACATCAAATTGGGGAATGGCTAAACAAGTTGTGGTATATGAATGTTATGGAATACTATTGTGCAATAAGAAATGATGAACAGAAAGCTTTCAGAAAAACCCGGAAAGATTTATATGAACTGCTGCAAAGTGAAATAAGCAGAACCAGGAGAACACTGTACAAAATATCAGCAACATTGTGTGATGATCAACCATGAATGGCTCCGCTGTTCTCAGCAACATGCAGATCCAAGACGAGTACAAAGGACTTATGAAGGAAAATGCCATCCACATCCAGATAAAGAACTGATGGACTCATGAGTGCAGATTGAAGCCTATTTTTTTCACTATATTCTTTTTCATGTTTTTTTTTTCCCTTTGATCTGTTTCTTCTTTCACAATTGTGACTAATGGAAATATGTTTTACATGATAGCACATGTTTAACCTACATCAAATTGCCTAGCATTTTCTGAAGAGGGGAGGGAGGGAGAAAAATTTTAGAACTCAAAATCTTGTAAAAATGAATGCTAAAAATTGCCTTGATATGTAATTTGGGGGAAAAATACTATTAAAAAATCTCTTGGCACTAAAAAAAAAATTCATACTAGAATTTTATTTTTTTTCCTGAAACAGATCGAATTCATCAATGAATTTTTAATTTCCTGTCTTTGTTTTTAAAAAATAAGGTCATTTGCCCATCTTAAATCTTTTATCAGCTTTATAATTCACTGTGATTTTCCCCCCCATAAAGCACCTACAAAAATTTAGAAGAAAAAAAAAGAAATAATGAGCAGATTTCAGAAAAACCTTGAAAGTGAAGTGAGCACAACCAGAAGAACATTGTACATACCAGCAATATTGAATGATGAACAACTCTGAATGACTTAGCCGTTCTCAGCAATACAGTGATCCAAGAGAACTCCAAAGGACTCATGACAAAGAATGGTGTTCGCTTCCAGAGAAAGAACTGGTTGGTGGAGCCTGAATGCAGATCGAAGCATATTATTTTATTTTTTTTAATTATTTACTTTCAGTTTTCAACATTGCACTTCCATAAGATTTTGAGTTTTAAATTTTCTCCTCCCCCCTCCCCAAGATGGTGTACAATCTGATATAGGCTCTACTTATACATTCATATTAAAACATATTTTCACATTAGTCATGATGTAAAGAATTAGAACTAATGGGAGGAACCACAGGAAAGAAAAAACAAAACAAAAAAAAAGAGAGCAAATAATATACTGCCATCTGCATTCAGACTCCATATTTCTTTCTCTGGATGTGGATAGTATTTTCCACCATGAGTCTTTTGGAGTTGTCTTAGATCATTGCATTGCTGAGAAGAGCTAAGTCTGTCAAAGTTAGTCATCGCACAATGTGGTTGTTCCTGTGTACAACAATGTTCTCCTGGTTCTACTCATTTCACTCAGCATCAGACCATACAAGTCTTTCCAGGTTTTTCTGAAGTCCACCTGCTCATCATTTCTTATAGCACAATAGTATTCCGTTACATTCATATACCACAACAGTTCGGCCATTCCCCAATTGATGGGCATCCCCTCAATTTCCAATACTTGGCCACCACAAAAAGAGCTGCTATAAATGTTTTTGTACACATGGGTCCTTTTCCTGTTTTTATGGTCTCTGAAATACAAACCTAGAAGTGCTATTGCTGCGTCAAAGGATATGCAGTTTTATAGTCCTTTGTGTACAGTTCCAAATTGCTCTCCAAAATGGTTGGATCAGTCACAGCTCCACCAATAATGCATTAGTGTTCCAATTTTCCCACATCTCCAACATTTATCATTTTCCTGTTTTGTCCTTGTTAGCCAGTCTGATAAGTGTGATGTCATACCTCAGTCGTTTTGATTTGCATTTCTCTAATCAATAGTGATTTAGAACATTTTTTTCATATGACTATAGATGGCTTTAATTTCTTCATCTGAAAACTGCCTGTTCATATCCTTTGACCATTTATCAAAGCATATTGTTTTTCATTTCCTTTTTTCTTTTTGGGGGGGGAGGGTATCTGTTTTATTTCACAACATGGCTAATACAGAAATATGTTTTGCATGATTACACATGTATAACCTGTATCAAATTGCTCGCAGTCTCAGTGGGGGGAGAGAATTTGGAACTTTTTAAAAATTATGTTAAAAATTGCCATTATATTTAATTGGGGAAAATATTATTTAAAAAAATAAGGAGTCAATCAGAAGTTAAAAAAGAAAGCAGAAATGTGTTTTGTTTTTTAGTGAGGCAGTCAGGGTTAAGTGAACTGCCCAGGGTCACACAGCTAGTAAGTGGCGTGTCTGAGGCTGGATTTGAACTCAGGTCCTCCTGACTCCAAGGTCAGAGCTCTATACTGTGCCACCTAGCTGCCCCCTTTTTTTTAAGAGATTTTTTTTTCTTTTTTGGGCAATTGGAGTTAAGTGACTTGCCCAGGGTCACACAGCTAGTAAGTGTCAAGTGTTTGGTCTGACGCTGGATTTGAACTCAGATTTTCCTGACTTCAGGGTCAGTGCCCTATCCACTGTGCCACCTAGCTGCCCTCTAAAAATGTGCTTCTGTAACATCTTAGTGTACATAACACTAGGAATTTGCTCCGTACAAAATGCATCGTGCTGAATAAAGTAGATATAGCATTCATTTTTTTTTGTTTGAGGAGATTTTGGCCCCCTTTTAGCTCTGCTGATGTACTCTGAAATGATTTCATCTAAGTTTAATCCAGGAAGTAGGAGTGAAGTCACAATCAGGTACATGAAGGAAAAGATTGTGGGCCTGCTGCCTGAGCCAGGCAACTACAACAAAAGAAATAATGCTCCTGAAGTACATTTGAGGTTTCTCTCCCTTCCATGTGAAGAGGCACCTCCACCAGCTAACAGCTCCGAGCGGTGTCTTCATTTGGTTGCTGCTTATTTGGAGCAATCTCTGCTGTTGCTCACTAGTCTGTTTATTGGAACCAAAGATTCTAGCAGCAAGAATGGGTATAAGGTGATCAGCCAGGCAGGAAACCATGATAGAGTAGGAAACATCAGACTGTCCAGGTGTATTTAAGTAGTGAATCAAAAGGGACACCAAGGAAAAATACTCATGACTACAAGTGGAAACTTAGCTTTCTCCCATTCAAGGATTTCATTAGCCACCAGCACTTCTTGCCATCCTTGTAACTGTTCTTCCAGGATGACAGTCACTGCAGTCAGCATGCTGCTGCTGCTGCAGCTGTCCCTTCTCTGCCATAGTCACTACAGGGCCTTCAAGCCTCCTTGCTGCACTGCTACCAATCCCCGTAGAAAGAAACCACAACCCAAACAGTCCTTCACTCGACCCTCAACCCAAGTTAATTTTCTTAGGAGAAAATTAGAAGAAGCTGCTTACCATTCTGCCCAGACTTCTAGATAAGGGAATATTGCTCATCCATAACATCTTGTTCTCAACCTTCAAGGAGTTTTACCTCCCCAAAGTATATTCCTTCAGAGGCCTGAATGTTTTAGTTGTTAAGACCTGCATATGATCTTGGAGTCAGTCCTGACTCAAACCCAGCTATG